ATGTTAACATATATGTTTATGTATACCTATGCATGTGCTTGCATGCCTATGTACCTGCCTGCATACCTACAAACAACAGCATCATACAGCCCCTTGCATGACAGCCGTATCATACTGTGTTCATCTGAGGGGAGGCTCGTTAAGGATTGCCGACGGTCTGACGAGTACTGCACCGAGCCCACAGTACATCGTTGCCGAGACACAAGCCGCCACAACAAGGAGAGGCCCCAAGAGTAGCCCGGATGGCGAGATGTCTGCAACAGAAAGAAAGGCCCTCACTCACGAACCCCAGCAACATTAGCTCCCGACCCGCCTTCTCTGCAGAAGGAGCGGCGCTGCCTTAGGGGGTCTTCGCAGTCGTGGCACTGCTACACTTTGATTTTGCAACCTCAGGCTCCGCCAGTAGCCCCGCAGGGGCCACCTAGCACTATCCGAGGACTCTGCAGCTCACCCTCCAACATGCAAGGCAAGAGAAGGCTTATCAAATATAAAACACTGCGTATGTATGTATACATATACATCTAGAACAATATGAATAATAATAATAATAATAATAATATTGATAATGATAATAATAGTAATAAAATAACAACAATAATACTAAACATAATAACACTAAGAATAATACGAATAATAATAGTAATAGTAATAACAACAATACTAACATCAACTCAAAAGGAAGATTGAACTTGAATTTATGTAAAATCAGGATGAAATGCCCCGAGTTAAAGTCCTCCCAATTGTCCGCTTCATTGACGCTTCATCACAAGCATCGAAATTTTCAGGAACTTATCGAAGCATGCCGCTGGTGATTCAAATCTGCGATCAGATACACAGTATTGAGTATTGCTTGCTGGCGACTTGGCACCCGCACCAAAACGTTTCGCACGCTGCGCCTTCGCATCATCATCGTTCGCGGCCTTGGCAGCAGCTTTCCGAAGGACTGGATTGCCCCAGTGATTTTACAGCTGGGACTGTTGTTTTCTGCTGCTGGGTGGAGTGGGCGAATCGGCGCGGGCTGACCGCGTTGCGTTTCGAAGTCCTGGTTGATGAAAGGCATTTGACGAGTGGCTTGCTGTGACTTGCCTCGCTTGGGACATGGAGCTTCGGGCTCTCACATCTTTGCTGTCAACGGTGCTTGCTGGACATGGGTGGTGCAATTAGAGATGCTGCACTGGAGCCCTCGTTCCTTGGAAACCTTGAACATGAGGGAATGACCCTGTTTAAAAAACCCAGCAATCCCCACTCAATCATGTATGCATGTATGTAAGTATGTATGTATGTATGTGCTTGTATGATTGTATGTGTGTATGCGCATGTATGCGTATGTGTTTTTACCTGAGTATGAACTACGCATGATCGCCGAATCCACGCATGCATGGATGGGATGGATGTGCATCACACTGTCTATGTTTACGTGTATGTATATACAAGCACATTCTCAGATAGGTCACTGTTTCGGATTAGGCACTTGCTTATTAATTAGGTGTCTAAGCTTTGGCACAAAAAGTGACCCAATGCCACTTTGAACTTGAGCCCCCCCCCCCCCAACCCTGATGCCCAAACCCAAAGCCGTCGCACCACGGTAAGAAGCGGAGAGGGCGCGGCCCCGAAGCGCTTGGCGCGCGCCTCCAGCTTCTCCTGAAGCCGTGGAGGCGCAGTTAGGGTTCGTTCTTTCCCTCAACATATGTTGCTATATATATGCAAATATGTTTTCTTTGTATGTGTATGTGTACATACGTATGGGTGAATGAATATGAGTGTATAAATATATGTATATATATATATATATTGTAATATGTTATGTTATGTTATATTATATTATATTATATTATGTTATATTATGATATATTGTATTATATTATATTACATTATATTACATTATATTATACTATACTATACTATACTATATTATATTATATTATACTATACTATATTATATTATACATATATATATATATACACATACATACATACATTCGTTTTGCACACCTACCTACCTGCCTACCTAACTACCTACGTACATACATACATAATTACATACCTATGTACATTTCTACATATACATCTATACACATACACATGCACATACATATACACATACAAACTAAATACATATACATGTACATATACACAGAATACATACATACCTAAGCCATTTGATTCTAGATCATGCGTTGGGGAGACAGGTATACAAGTTTAACATGCTGTCCTGATTGGGGCGAGTCTCTGGTTTAGGGGAGAAGTAAATCTAATTTCGAGGCTTCGGCCCTGACAAAAGCTGCAGGTTCCAAGGTCATAGGGTGAGGACTTGGGTCCATATATGATGAGGTCCCCTACCATGGCTATACATGGACAATAACCTACTACAAGAAAGAAAAGGTATTCGTGAGAACACAAGTCAGAAGCTGTAGCGAGCCTCTTACGCTTTGAGTTAGAGATTCCGGAATTGAATGTGTTTGTGGGATATAAGAGATGAGGGTTTTTGGGATTAGGTCAGCGATTTCAGTTCCGGCTTCAGCCGATTGCAAAGCGTCGATCGAGGGAGTCAGGGCTGTGGAGCATGCACTACTGCAGCGGCGGGGGGGGATCTTGCACAGATTTCGGGCTTCAGCCAACAGCGGTGATCCAGGAGTCTTGCTTGGAATGTCAACTTGTGAGCTCGGCATGAGACAGGATACCCTGTGCAGCAAGTCAGAGCGACGTAAACCCGACGACCTGCAACGGAAAATCGTTCCCCGTCCCTTAATTATGAAGAATCCTCATATACTAGTCAAGCAATGTTGGGGACCTTAGTTTGGGGGTCCTTATAATAAGGATCCTACTAGTCAGGGTACTATATTATTAGGGTCCCCTATTTTCGGAAACTCCCTTAGTCGAACGGTGACTCGCAAACTCCCCCAGCTCCTTGGTTGACAAGGAGCCGGAGTTGCCATTCTCGGTGCCCTGCGGGTTTTTTGCTGGGCGAAGTTCCCGAGTTAAATCCCTCAAGGCCCTCGCAAATCAAAATATCGCGAATCTCGGCGAACAGGATATAGGAGAAAAGAGATCACCACATGTAAGCTGGCCATGCACCCTAAACCCTAAACCCTAAACCCTAAACCCGAAAACCCTAAACCCTGAACCCTAAACCCGAAAACCCTAAACCCTGAACCCTAAACCCGAAAACCCCAAACGAAGTTAACTGCACAGCGACTCTGCCTCCGATGCCGCCATCGCCTGGTCTCGCGTCTAACAAACACTGCCGATTGCACTGCATTACTTTTGGGTGCCTAAGTAATTACCTATAGGATCCCTTCAAAGGGTTCCTTTAAAGGATCTATAATTATAAGGGATCTACAATAAAGTTTCCAAAAAGAGCCTAAACAACTATGTAAGGGCTCCTTTTCAAGGGGTCTATAAGGATTACTATACGGGCTATTATGAGGATTTAGTGTAGCGGCCTAAGTAGTTACCAACATTATTTTGGGGTTTCCTTTAAAGGGTTCCTTCAAAGGGTTTGTAAGGGATCTATATAAACGGTACTTGATATAGGGGCCTAAATAGTCACCAATACTACTTTTGGGGTTCCTTTACAGGGTTTCTCAAAAAAGGGTCTATAAGGGATCTATATAAAGGGTACTTGATATAGTGGCCTAAATAGTTACAAATACTATTTTGGGCCCAAACCCTGTTTTAATTATTAAGGCCTCTATATTAAGTGCTCTACTCGGCGTCCGGTGCAGCCCAGCTTACACACCGTAAGATGTGTCAAACGTGGCATGGTTCTTCTATAGCTATAGCGATGCAACTCACAGCCGTTCGTAGCATCATGTCTGCGACCTCGTCAGCCTTGTCGTATTTGGGCCAGCCACCCGAGCCTGACCTCAGAGCACCAAGCCCGGTCCTCGATACCAAGCTTGGCAAGGCCCGACAACACCCCATATCAAGAAAACACAAAACTCCAAACACCCCTCCCCGAGCCCCAATCCCTGAATAGCTTTGTTCGCAAACCCCATAACTCACTCGCAGACTTGCACGCAAGTACAGCAGCTCCTTTTACCTTGGGCCCCTTCTCCACAATGGACCAAGCATTGTGACATTACGTCCCGTGAATCCGAAAGACACGGGAGTACTCACCAAAACCTACATAAGTCTAAGTACCCACTCAATAAACCCTACAGGCCCCTTTGCCCCAATAAGTCCTTAATCCGCACCCCCCAAACCTCTGAACCCTAAACCCCTAAACCCCCAACCCGTAAACCCCTAAACCCTGAACACCTAAACCTCTAAACCCCAAACCCTAAACACCTAAGGCCTCTAAACCCCAAACCCTAAACACCTGAACACCCCTACACCCCAAACCCCAATCCCTGGACACCTTAATCCTAAACCCTCTAGACCCTAAACCCCAAACCCTAAACAGCAAACCCCAACCAGCCTCTGAGGCTTCTGCAGCCCCTGGCAACCGTCTTGAGCCAACGGCCGGCAGAAACAGCGCAGTAGGGTTTAGCGGTTTTTTGGTTGAGGGTTTGGGGTTTAGTTTTTGGTTTAGGGTTTAGGGTTTTTGGTTTGGGGTCTATGGCTAAAAGTAAGGGGCCTCAACAAGGGGCCCATGATACCATAGTTGTCATAAGGCATACGGGGCCTTAGTAAGGGGCCCACTATACCATCATAGTTCTAGTAGGGAATCCATCAAAGTAGTAGAGGTAACTCCTCAGGCCCCGAAGGTTAACGGCTAACTTCGGGCCCGGGGTCCACTGTGTTGGGCATTGGACGGGTTTGGGCATGTAGGGTATTGTGGAAATGGAATTCTAGGTTGGGCTGCGACTCAAGCCACATTCCGCTATTGCCCGCTTAGTATATTGAGGTGGGGCCTGTGGATGATTGGTTCATACTGTAGCGAAATACTACAGTGCAGCATAGTATACTACAGAGTACTGTAGTATAGCTCAGAGAGGTCACGTGAAACACGACAGGGTCTGAGTGCACGGAGCCCGAACATGCCACCGTGGTCTTTTTTAGCCGCTGTCTCTGGCAGGACTGGATGCGGTCCTTCCAGACTGCGGAGGCACCTGAAACCCCAAGGCTACCAGCCGTCTTGTACTTGCTTTCCGGCATGTAGTACCGTCGGACATCGATTCCTAAAAATCTCTTCAAAGCTCTCGGAGACCTTTTGCTGACATGCGATGAGGGCCTTTGCAAGATTCTAGCTGGGTCCTTGCAGTGTACTGCATGTAGAAACATCACCACAAACACGCCCTGTACAGAAAGGCATGTACAGAACGCTTTCTTCCTGACAAGTTTACCGTATGATGGCTCAACCCATGAGAAGCTTGAAACCTGGAACTTGCTCCGTCGCTGCCGTAGCTACAGCACCAACAGGAGTTGACCACGCAATGTATACCGATCAGGACTGTATGTGTATATGTATGAATGTATGCATGCATGCATGCAAGTATGAACTCCAGGCAGTATTGTAAGTGTGGCGTCCCCGGGCCTCCCAATTCTCGTCCGGCGGGGTGCGCCAGTAAACCTCGAAGGAAGCGGCGTCCCATATATGACATAGTATAGCCAAGTAAATCTATTCAATTAATTATCTCGTGTTGTATGATTGTATTTCATCTTATTCTTATAAGATACCAAGCCGGTGAGGGTCCGAAAGCACACGCCAGAAGATCGTGAAAAGGCAGGCTCCGGATCGGTGTCGCGTCTCAACATCACCAGACAGAACTCAGAGGGGGGCGTGTCCGTACACCCGCGTTGATGCCTGAGGGAGGCTGGGGAGCTCAGTCCATGGAAGATCACGGCCTTTCGGCCTGATTCGCTATATCATTGTCCACATCAGTTCCTGGAACATTAACATCAGTAACAAGTCAACCCGAACCACCAAACTCTCATCGCAGAACGTTGATCCCAGGAGCCATGTGTTTTGGTTGCTGTCTCTTTGCGGTGCCTCCTTGTGGTCCATGCTAGGCCAGCGAAGAGCACAAACGAGCCCTGCGCCGATCTCCTCCCGACTGGATCGACTCATGAAGCGGACAAGGTCACTTGTCACGGGACTACTGTTGGGTTAGCAGCAACATGAAGTCATGGTCCTGACTCTCATCGTACCATACCCATCATTGTCATCGTCCTACCTTCATGAGTAATCACCTGCTCACGGCCATACTCATCATTGTCATTCTCACCCATGGCCTAATGAGCACAACTGCGAGTAGCTCATAGCTCCACAGCCAGAACGGCACTCACAGTTCGAATCGTCCTACTCAGCATAAGTCGAATACCTGATCACTGATGGAACCACTTCCAGCCAGAACAGGGCAGACTCTGGAGTGCAAGCGGATGAAGGGACTGTAGAGCGCTCGTTTGGAGCTTGGGCTCCGGACCTAGAGCCTCACCGGTTCTCTTGTGGGCTGGCTGACTCAGGTTGAAGGCTGATAGCTGCGCTTGAAGGAAGTCTACGTGGTAGATGTCGGACGATACAGGCTTCCATGCGGTTTCGAGCTTGTGGTTCAGAGCACCTTGCCTCCCGACATCATTTCAGCAGAGGTCTGCACCCTTGAAGCCATCAACCCCGAATGCTCATGCCAAGGAGGGGATGGTCTCCTCCCTGTGAGCCTTCCGCGGGGTAGTTGCCAACGCTTTGGCTGCAATGGACAAGACCTGAAATGGGGCGCTGGCACTGTCCCACATAAACGAGCAAAGGGTATATAGGTTCGCTTTTTGGTTTTGAGCTCGCGGCAAAGGTGCCTTAGAGCAAGGCTGTGCGCAACGGGCCTGAAGAATAGCAAACAAAATCGTTAAAGCACGTGAGGATTCTCAACACTTTCAACCCTTCTAAACCCTGCCGAAACCAACACAACCCCCTAAAGTATCTCTTAGATGCAGGCCAATCGTGACATTTGGGGCTGGGCGGGTTTCTGGTCGAAGGATTTCAGGGGTTGAGTCCGAGTGCCAAGGGTTTAGGGGATACAAGGCTTGCGCTGCGGGATCCATCCCTGGCATGATGGTGTTGCAGGGTGAGCGTTTGCCAGGTGTCGGTGAGGCCATCGAGCTGCTGGGCTAAAGCTAGGGACCCAAACAGCGCGCGACACCGCTTCCCTGACTGGATACACCGGAGTACAAAGACTGCAGATGGATGCATGTGACGAAACCGAAGGGGCCGGAACAATCTTGGTGGCACTGTCTGCCTGATTCTGCTGCATTGCAAATTGCACACCCGGGGCCGTCAAACTGGAAAAATAGCTTTCGAAGCGAGGCTGCCCAGTCCCAGTCGAGGTTCACTGGGCTCGCGGCTGCGTTGTTGTTGGGGTTAAGCTCGAAAGCCACGCCAGAAAGCTGCGCAGCAAAGGCACTCACAACCAGAGCTTGCACGCTCCACCCTGTGCAGTAGTCAGTGTGAGGGCAGGCATGTTGATCCTGGGGTGGCCCGTGACCTTGCGGTGGGTGACGGCCATCGCTTCCGCCAACCTCAGCATGCGTGCTATGACTGGAGCGGGCGTAGTCGTCATCATGGCTGCTGTCGTCTGTCGCCTATACCCACGATGCAATAGTCTCTTCATCTACGTACTCGTTGTGCAATCACCTTTCTTGGCCTTGGCATTGTTCTACTGCTACTTATGATAGTTCTGTATCAGTTGCTTCCTGAGTCTTCACCACTAACAACGCATCCCTCGAAGATCTCCGAAGCCTCGACTGACAAAGCGTAAAGAGAAAACGATGAACATCACATATGTGTGCAGCAACTGCAACAGCAGGAGCAGCAACAGCCGGGCCACAGCCACGAGGGCGACAACGGCAAACAATCACAACAACCACAGCAGAAGCACCATCAGCATTAGCGGCAGCAGCAGCAGCAACCACCACCACCACCACCACCACCACCACCACCACCACCACCACCACCACCACCACCACCACCACCACCACCACCACCACCACCACCACCACCACCACCACCACCATGACCACCTCCATGCCGCCACAACCACCACCACACCACGACCATCACCACCTAGCACGAATACACGCAGTGCTAGCAGCAGCAGGGGTATAAGACGAAGTTCGGCAAAACATAACTCCGGGAAACAAAAAAGCACGCGCTCAGAGTCGGGGCCCTTGCTTCTCGACGTCGGTGTTGGGAGTGACGGATAAGGGCTTGCGGACCCGGGAATCCAGCTGAAACCACCTGAAGCTTGAAATCCGCTGAACTCTGAGCGCGCCTATATCCGATTCTGTCAGGGCACACATTTAAGGACTCTTTTCAGGGTTACTACCAGAACTTTCCGGAAGCTGATCGGCCAGGCGGGACAAAGGCGTGAAGTCTGCAACTCGGCAGCTGTGGTCAACCGAAACAGTCTGAACAGGCCCCAAACCTGAGCGCATGCAAACTGCATCCCCAACTCTGAACCCTAAACCCTAAACAGGCCCTAAACCCCTGAACCCCTAAAACCCTGAACCCCTGAAAAATCTGAACCCTAAGCCCCAAACCTAAGTCGGCGGAGGCCTTTGCTTCCACTCGCCCCAGGATTCATGTATCTGGCAACGGAAGCGGAGAGCGCGCCCCTCCTGCTCCTGGCAGGCGGTTTAGGGTTTGGGGTTTATAGGGTTTAGGGTTCGGGGATCAGTTTGGGTCTTGGGTGTAGGACTGATTTCAGGAAGTGTGCTGGTGTGGGTCTAAAGCAAGCATCATAGACTGGGGCTATGTAGTACCCATGCATAAGGCCTACTGATTTTATTAACTCGGAGGCTTCTGCGAAGTGGGGAGTTCGATGTGTGTTGTTCCCAAATTGGCACACAGTTTTGACCTTCACAGTATCATATATATATATAAATATATATATATATATATATATATATATATATACGTACATATATATGTGTGTATGTGTATATATATATATATATGTGTGTAGACATATATATATATATATATATATGTATATACATGTACGTATATGTACGTATATGTATACTTGTTCATACTTGTATATAAGCATACACACAAACTCGTGGTGTGTGTACATATATACTGTGCACCTACATGTTCATGTAGGTGCTGTGTGTTAATTCATTTGCATGCATTGACATCACAAGGAATGCGTGCCGATGGGAACCTCGTGCCATCGCACCATGAACTCAATGGGACTCTTAGCCAGCTCGGATGCCTGCCCGACAATGGGGTGAGGGCATTTATGGTGTTTGGGGGTTTCAGGGTGCGGCATCTGAGGGTTAATTAGAGTTTGTAGTAGGGATTCGGTGGGAGACATCTTTCGGAGACGAGGCGAGGACGATTCCAAGCTCACATCCCGGAGTTTCCAAACTGGGACAGACGGATTAGCTTGTGCGACGGGCAGACGCTCACAAATCCAAAGGCCGAGCAGATTTAGGTACGGAGTATCTATCTAAGAGAACGAGCCATGGAGTTATTGTGATGTGTGCCATACTCAGTATGAAACCTCTCTGAACCCGGCAAACAGCTCCAAAACCCTGCCACGGGCCGAGGCGAGGCCACGGAGGGTGTTGCCCAGGGCGATCTCGCCTCACAGCACCCCAAAGCCAAAATCGACCAAGCTTTGCTAGCTGCGGCTGACAAAACGCAACGGTGGCTGTTGCAAAAGTTCAACATGTGGTCAGCAGTGCAAGTCTGTGCTGCTGTTAATAGCGTCGCTACGATTCTCTCAACCAGACTCACGCAAAACAAAACACTTTTGCAGCTGAATCCCAACATCCTTTACGCTTTGAAGGAGACAACCAGATGTCCGACATGGGATGATAGCATCGTTGACACCCGGCCCCTTCCTGTCCTTACCGTAGTGACCTCCATACCCAAGTGCCCAAAATCTGAAACATCTTCTCTGCATGGACACTTGCTCCAACCCTGGTGTGCAAGTAAACGCACTGGGGTGCGAGCCTCGCGCGCCCACGACCTTTCAAGGACATTCCGCATACAGTGCGGTAGTACACTCACGCTGCTCACTGCGATGGCAGCTGCCACGGCTTCGTTGGGAGCTCCAGCTGTTGATGCTCTTATTCGTAGTTTGCCTCGTCGAAGCAAGTAGCAGCAGTATAGCAGTAGCACAAGCCGCAGCAGGAGCACGAGGAGGAGTAGGAGCCCGCGTAGGAGCAGGAGGAGTACAGTAGGAGGAGGTAAGCTGATGTAAGCTGGGGGTGTAACGCAGTAGCCAGGCCCGGCGCTGTCGCGGCACATCGCTCCTCCAAGCAGGGGCAGTTTTGTGAACACTCCAGACTGCAGCGATGTGCTCTGCGCATGAAGAGCGGTGCCCCATGATACCTGGTGGGGGCCCTGACAAAGGCCAGCTTCCACGAGCCAGGCATTTGGGGAGCTCTGAACATCTTTGAACCGAGGTCAAGCTGTGCTGAGGCGGCTGAGCCCGCTGCGGATCTTCGCTCCGAGCCGCTCATAGCGCCGATCGTCCGTCTGCAGAGATAGGCATGGCTTTCTGGGCGAACAGAGGAAGTCATTATATTACTGCAGCTACGAGGACAGACGGGCCGTCGACAACCGCCAGCACCACAACTACGACGATAACAGCGACGGAAAATGAATGCAGCAAATGGGAGAAATCGGCATACTATGCCTGATAGATTAAAAGACCCACTCTGAGCCCGTAACCCCTGCAATGAGCCCCACAAACTCCTTACATCCCCCACCTCGACCAACCCGGGCGCCCAAAGGATCGCCGGGCGAGCTGAGAAGCCCCGCCTCCGTCAGTGACTACCGCAGTTTGAACTGGTTCATGTCTGAATGTAAGGGGTTGCAATAATCAGAATAGGGTTTCGGGGGCTATGATATGGTCTGTTAGTATGTAATTTTGTAGGGTTCGGAGCTCTGGGGTTGTCTGTTGTCGGCACAAGCATGTCGGATGCAGTCTGAAGTGTGGCCCCTTGCTTTGCTTAGCCGGCAGCATGCATCCTGTCAGCATGCAGCTGGAGTTCCGCAGAGATTTTGGACAACGAAGCAGGCAGGTGGAGATAGCTTCAGAATTCATGCAATCCGTCCTAGCTGTCCTATTGCCGCTGGTGCTCGGCTGGGTTCCAAGCTGGTGCCTGTGACTGGCGGCGCCCGTGCCGGTGGACCTGATGGTCCTTCAGCGAGTTGACTCATGCTGTGCAGTATTGTCTTGGCACCTCCTCCTGAAAATGTCAGCTGTGGGCAGAACGAAGGCCGTAATGTGCAGGAAGGGAGCAAAACCTAACCTTCAGCAAATCGTCCCCGACAGTCCCCGATCTTGAGCTGGGACTCTGGCAAGCTGCGCCACGCATGCATGGCACACACAACAAGAGGCAAGGGCAAGGGCTGTGTGTCGGAATGGTTAAGTCAAGAGGGCCACAAAAGAGCCTAGGTTCGCTTCTGTGCCATCTGCGCTGTCGGGCTTGTGGCTCGGGTGGCACAAAGCTTGATCAAGTGGGGGTCTCTGCTCATTCCACGAGTTCCTGCTCATCTACAGCACCAGAAAGACTCCCACAGCCCATTCGCAGCAGGTGCAGACCATTCCAGGAAATGTCGATCAGACATCGTGCGGAGAAGCCCTACCAAAACGGTTGGTGCAAGCTTCCTGCAACTTTACTGAAGCCTTCTCGCAACGCTGCGGGAGCAGAGGAGTGCTCGTAGGCTCAGGTCACTCTCATGCTCTGGACGCGTGAAACGAATCTGAAGCTGCATCCTTGCAGCAGAAGCTATCCTCTCTCGGAAGCTCCCACGCGACTCTACCGTCCTGTCGATCTTCAGAGCCATAGCAGTCAATGGTAATGTATGGTACGACGACACAAGGTGTAGAAGTAGTCATGCATGATAGTCGTCGTACCTTCTTGTACTAAAAAGGCTTGTAAGACATCTGAACTGAAATTTTGATCGAAGGCTTAAGATGGCAGGTGCATGATCGTCACGCCGAGTAAAGACTAACACTAAGCCCCACAACCCTAGCTTTCAGCGGCCCCTTGTGGGCTCTCCGCCTTCGGCAGCTCCACCTCGCTGCACAATCCAATAAAGAACGTGGGATGCAGATCGTGTGAAGGGGCAACAGCTTCCTTGTAGAAGATGAAGAATGTAGGATTCTTGGTCCAGCCTATAAGACCATCACTCTTCCCACTTGAAGGCACAACGCAACATGACTTTCTGCAGCTTAGGGGTGTGTAAGAACGGTGCGTCATCGATCCCTCGGCCCTCTCCGAGACCCTCAAGCCCGGCAAGTCGAGTCAAGATCCGGCCTCACCACGCACGCGGAAACCCCGGGCGTAAGCAACTGCAGCGAGGCCCGCCAGAGCGGCCTTGTCTGGTCAGCGCAGGAGCAGGAGCAGGAGTAGCAGGAGTAGCAGCAGCAGCAGTCGTCGTCGTAGCAGCAGCGGCAGCAGTAGATAAGACATCCATCCATCCATCCATGCATGCAGACAGACAGGCAGACAGAAGTGTAGCATACAAATATATATACACATGCACTTACATACATACATACATACATACGGATGCAAGCATGCATGTATGCATACACACAACACACACACACACCATGCATGGATGCTTGCCAGCAGCTTGCTTATTTAGTGGCATACATATAATTGCAGACTGTCATGCATCCCTGTTTGCATGTATTCATGCATGCATACCTTACTTATGCATGTACCTACATTCATGCATGCACGCATACATATACGCATGTATGCACACATGCATACACCATACATAGATACATACATACATACATACTAGATACACAAGTACATACACAAAGGCATGTATGCATGAGATGCACTCCGACCCAATCGCAACCAAATGCAAATGCAGGACCGGACGATACAATAGACTAAGAAATTGATACCAATCCGTACAATACTTGTACCTAAAATACGAAAATACACATACAGCAAACGATACTCTACCATGCAACACAATACAATATACATACCCACGCGTTTGAGATGTATGCGTATGTATATGTATGTATTTTTGTTTGTCTGTACATACATGTTATCCTTCTGATGCCCGCTCTCCCCAGCATCTTGTCACCGTGCAGCGTGCTGGGATGCCGACGGTGCCGAACCCCGCCGCGAAGAAGGCGGCGGTTCGAGGAAGCTGTCGGCAGATTGGCACTTCCCCAAGAGTTCACAAATCTTGCGATGTATTATAATGTCCTTACGATGATACTGTGTAGCATCATATGTGTCAGTATCTCTTTGACGAACCGCAACGTCTCACTACTCTTCCACATAAACACAGCTTATTCCTCGTGTCCGTTCTCTTTGAGGCCCTTCAGCTCTTGACACGGAACGTATCCATGGAACGCCGTACACAACGTGTAAACCGTTGAAGTGGGCCCCAAACCTTCACGGGCACCTGTTCTGCCAAACGCAAGAGTGAAAGCTGTTGCAATCCTGCGAAGGATGCAGAACAGGGACGGACGACCAAGGACGAAGTGCATGGTGCACTGCAGGTATTCTCTCCAAGCGTCGCAAGCGACATTCAGCCGTGGAGTTGCCATTGGGCCTTAATAATTAGAATAGGGTTTTGGGGCCCATTATACTATAAGTTTAATCATAATAAGGAACCCACTATTTACGTATAGACAATTCCTAAGGCCCCTGTAGTATCCTCGGGCCTAACCTCACTGAAGCCCCCGTCGAACGCGCCTGGCTGCGTGCATGCAGGTGGTTGGCCGCGACATTCGTGGTCGCCGGCTTCGGGTTAATCTTCACCTAGGGCCCATGAAGAGAGACACTCCCGATGAATCAGTCTACGATCGTTGATGTCGATTGTTCGTGTGTGCATCTTCCCCTCCTTGATCTTGTTGGGAACCCTTTCTACGCCAGTACTGCGTTTGCACCTTGGAACACATGGTCTCTGAAGACTTCTACAAAATATCCTTATAGCACGTATACTTCTATACGGCTACGTGGTACGTAAACTTCTACAATGCTACGGGATCATATCTAAAGTGCTCCGCGACGAATACTACTTGCACAGCACTTGCTTGCGCTAACTAACGGATCTCGAGTTCGTGATCTTTCTAGACAAGTCGAGGCTGTATCTGACCCAAAAGCAGCCACCCTTCCAAGGAAGCATGTAATCAAGTCGTTGAAGTGTTCTGTAATTTAAACCGTTCCGGGGATCGGGGATGCGGCACTGATCTGTGTTTCTGGTGTGCTTTTTGCAAGTTGCGCATCCATGTACAAGGGCGAGATCGGCGGAGGCTCAACTTCTCCGGCCGCTGAAAGCTTAGGGCCTTAAGGAGTTGCGGTTCGGACAGGTTGGCCGACGTAGAAGTCCCTGCAGATCCAGACACCTTTGTCCCCAGCCCCGGGGGTCGTTCTCCGATAAGCTGAGCCAAGGTCCACGTAAGGGCCGACGTTGTCCCCGGCCTCCGATTCAAGATCCAGGCGAAGTGGTTCGGGTAGGTTTAGGTTTACGGCAGCCTTACGAAGAAGCGGCGTCATGTATCACCTGAGGTAATCCTGTCAGCGAATCGTCACGCTGGCGACAATCCCAATCACAGTGGAATAGCACTGCAAGAAACATCGTAGTATAATGCAGGCACTGGAGGAGCCGCAGCAGCCTCAGCGGTACTGGCAGTGCAGGTGGTAGTGGTAATGGATTTAGTCGTGCTAGTTTTACCAGTTGTGGCGGTAGTAGAGGCTGTGGTGGGGGTAGTGGTCGTAGCAGCAGCAGCAACAGCAGCAGTAGCGGTAGTGGCAGTGGTGGCGGCGAAGAAGTGGTAGTATATGCAGCAACATGAAAAGGAGTAACAGTGGTACATGGCATAGTAGTGAAGTACAAGCGGGAGCAGGAGCAGCGGCAGCAGCAGTGGCTGTGATTGATTTAGGACATCATGCCCCGCCTCTATGAGCACTTTGTGGGTATCATCGCAGTACCTGAGCCAAGCCATGCTCCGAATATTCTTGTGATCTAACCCGAGCCGTCGATCCGAATGTGCCGTGAGGAAGCAGGCACATGCATGGCAGGCAACACCGGAGCAAACAGAAATAGACAAACTCTGAATCCAGGTCACGGAAATCGCTTCGACTGCCAGCAACGGCAAACTTTGATGTTTTTTGCCTGGAGCGCGAAGCTTGAGCGGACGGGGCTTTAGACTTTGGAGATGACACCAAGCAACTACTTCTCTTAGTTTTTTGGCTAGTGGAATAGTACTGTTCATCTTGCTATACTAAACATACAATCAACCGGGTTCGTCATAGTGTGAATCGAGTGTGTCAGTGTGTGTCAACCCACGACCCGCTGAAGACTGGCCCAAAGGGGCTGCCAGTCAGCTGCTAGGTGGACCCAAAGCAAGCTGCCTTTTTACGGACCTATATACATATATATATATATATATATATATATATATATTATATATATATATATGGAAATCAGAATAAAGAACCCTAAACAGGAAGGATATTTGGGATCAAAGTAGAGCTTCGGCTTTTTTTTTTGTGTGTGTGTCGGTCAAGTGTACTTAAAGGCTCCCCATGACCTTCCGCCGGACGGGGGTGAAACGAGTTCAGAGATTGGTGCATTGCATATTAAAGTACAACATATCTCATTATCCTACATCTTCTAGCACTAATTATCAAGAAAATATTAGTACTTTACCTTTAGTATAGTACCATGTGCAGTATAGTAATTACAGTATAGTCTAGTACATGTTAAAATTATTGTCTATAGTTGATACTGGGTCAATCTATTGAGACCTGCCGGATGCCGCCGTCTCCTTAAAGTACCCCTGATGCGTGTCGGCACGAGCGCTCCAAGACATCCCAAAACCACTCAGCAGAAGAGGGTCTTACCAACCCAACGCCATCTCAGTAAAACCGAAGCCACTTGAATAGTGCAACACCTGAGGCCGCGCCACAAGACCCGGCACTTTTATCCTTCAGTGTTAGAGTGGTCGTTTTCTTGGTGGCCGCAGTGGAGTCAAGCTGTCGCGACTTGCCGTTCGAACTTCCAGTGTAGGAAGATAACGCAACCTGGAAGCCCCGAAACTCAAGCCCCAAACCAACTCCAACATGTCGAAAGAGTCCCAGCGCTGCCCTGCCTCGCCCTGCTGGGCATACTGAATGATGTGGTGATACCTGGGGACGCTGCTTCGGGCTTGAAGGTATCACTTTTCGCTCTTGGGGGGAGTTGGGCATAGGGTTTCTTATTGGCACTATCTATGTTTACCCATACACCGATGCAGTGCCAGGTCAAGAAGCAGGTTCCGATGTTCACGGTATAATCTTTCACGGTGGGCGATTAAGCGCTGATGGGTTCGGGGTGTGAAGGCTAAGAGCCATGAGGGTGCAAGATGCGGGCTGAGAGAACATCACAGAACCTTAAAGGGAGCCCTAACTTCAGAAGTTCCGAGATCACCACGGCCCATTCCCTGCACATGATACGGAATTTCACATCTTTCATGTAGCATACTTTGTCTATGCTGTCCGCTCGAGGGTCGAGGGCACTTGTCAAAGTGCTTGGTGTTGTAGTTCATCTCCGGCGGCGGCCAGTCCATCACGCCTCCTGTCAACGGTCTCAAACTGCTCTAGCTGCATGTTTGCATACCACAGGCCGTTGATGAATGTGAGCTACCAGGAAATGTCGCCATCAGTCATATGATGACTTGCTATGACCTGTGCCACCTCAGTAGCTTTACGATTCTGTAAGCAACGTGTGCCGATGACCCCTCTCATCCATTTTCTGGTAACCATTTCCTGTCACTCCAAACTGCAAGTTCGGGAGTCTTGAGAAGAATCTATAGCGTTTCGAGTTGCCGTTTCTGGTGTTATGCTCGATTCCTTCTTGCTACAGCTTTGGGACTGCAGGCCTCTCAGTGCCAGAAGCCAAAACCCAAATTTGCTTGAAGCATCTTCAAGTCTCAAGCACCGACCGCAAGACCAAATTCTGAAACCTCAACTCCTCAAGCCCACTCAGGCGCTGGCGTGGATATGCGAATCCCGGATCTCCCGCCGAACTAAAGATAGAGACAGCTTCGATTCAGCAGGCGGGCGGGGGGGGGGGAGGGGTGTGGAAAAGTGCCAGGTGCTTGCTGTGAAGACAATCTCGCCCTCGCGCCTCTGATTGTGCCCGGGCCTAGACCTTTGAGAACGAACGCCTGTGCGTGAGACCTCATGTTTCTGACCCCACTCCCTCCGCATGCCTGTTTATATGATATATGCCCTGTAACCATTTCTCAGAAGCTCTCGTCTCATTCTCGTATCACTCAACATGGTAACAGAAGGTATTTTCTGATCTGCAAGCTTGGATCAGATCCAGTGGAGCATTCGTGCCACTCACTCTGCCGGGGCGTCTGCGGCTTCAGCCGCCTGCAGAGATCCAAGTCTTGGCCCGATGAGAGGCTCAGACTGTTCAACCCCCATGTCGGCTAGGCTACAAGGGAGAGATCTTTGCCGGAGGATGGTGACCATGTTGCTCTCACTCTGGGTTATACAGTTGCGGCTGACTCTGTAACCACTGCTGCTGAAACCACGATTGGGACAACGTCCACTGCCAAGCTCGAGGCTGCAGATGCGACCAAGCAAGGCTACGAACTCCAAAAACACAAAGTCAATACTCCTCAAACCATACACCCCTACTCCGAAACTCAACCGACTCACTGCATGTCTGGTCCCAGGCCTCCGGCTCCACCTGAGATTCAGCAGGCCCAGCGGGAGCTGCTTCCTGGCTGCAAGAGGCACGAACGCAGCAGCAGTGGCAGTAAAAGAGCAAGTAGAGGGAGGCAGTCCTCGTCAATGCTCTCGGTGCAGCAGCCAGCAGCAGCAGCAGCAGCAGCAGCAGCAGCAGCAGCAGCAGCAACATCACACACCAGCAGTACGCAGAGGACGACGAGGAGCAGCAGCAGCAGCAGCAAAAGCAGTATCAATAGCACTGGCATCACTAGCATCTTCGTTTCGTTCGAAACTCGCGCGGCAGTAGCATCTTGGAGATTCAGCTGTTTTGGGATTTCCGCTTTCTCAACTGCGGCTGCAGGCAGGATTCAAGATCGAAAGCGGAGTCAGCACAGTAATTGCAGATTAGGGCCATGTGCGACCCGAAGATCTGCTAAGGACCGAGGGCCACAAGAAAGCCTTCCTGACATCCCTTTTCCCAGCTTCGCCGACAAGCAAGTCAGCCACACTTGGGCCTTTTGAAGGAGGTAGGCCCAACACATCACGGGAAGTCTCTGCATGGTACCTGTCCGCCAGCATGCGCAGCGTCTCCTTCTCCCTCTCACGCCAATTCTGCTTCCAAATCGCTGCCGAACGGAGCATTGCAGAAAGCCGCACTTGGTGGGTCTTAAAATACTTCTCGAAGACCTCACGGACGCGCTGCCGGGTGGCCTCGATCCTTCCTCGGTCCCGGGAGAGGCTGTCGATGAGGCCTTTGGGATCCAAGCCCAAAGACTCCGGCCTCCTAACAGAGATCTGATTCCTTTGCTGAACTTCGACCCCTAGCAAACATTAGAAGTTTAGCTGCTTCTTAGGGATTGTAATATCCAAAGATTACAAAGTGTTTCTAAGTACCCCCAGGATTCCAGTCGATGAGCTCTTGGTAAGGGAGATTCCAGCCTCCGCTCAACGAAGGCATAGTCCGGTAAGGAAGGTTGAACTACAAAAAACTAGATGCAACGCATACATATACATGCTCACATGTAATATATGTGTATATATGCACACATGTGTGTATGTTCGTATACATACATATGTACGTATGTATGTACGGTACGTATGCATGTGCACGTAGATAAGGGGTTGATGTAGGCTGCCGGTCAGGCTTTCGAGAGTTCCGATTCCCAGCCTTCAGCCATGATCACTGGAATGGCCTGGCCGTTCAGGACCTCCATAAGACGATAGCTCCAACGACCATGACCATGAAGAACAAGGCTGTAAGATGAATCGAAGAGAGAGTGGTACTGTCTGAATTCCTTGAAGTAGCGATATTCACCTGCAATCGAGATGAAGACGTCCGCCGGTGGTGTGTAATTTGTTGTGGGCAGCGGCAAGGCTTCCCCCGTCGTCGGACTCCTCATCGACTTGGGTGGCTTCGTGGAGGAATTGAGCATGGCCGCAAGGTTCAAGCGCACAAAAGATGTGCCCCCCTTTCCCACATTCCACGGCCCCTGGAAGGTCAGAAAATACTTGGGGGGATTAGATGGCTGAATTCTGTCCCGTTGCAAAGTTTCTGGTGGCGGTATGTGGTGGGCATGCGTGATGCCTGGCAACAGTAGGGCGGAGTCATTGTAGATGTCCCAGAGCCGCATGTCTGACGATGAGAACATGAAATCTCGACGAGCGAGCAGAGCGAAAATGCGGGAACAGTCGCGCCAGCATTTTCCGGATAACCTCCGGGCAATGGCACCGTTGCTCAAGCTTCTGAGAAATCGAGATACATCGAACTCCTATGTCATTGTATAACAGACCGAATCCCTGACACCCCAAAATATGAAAGCTAACGTACATACACGGTTTCTGCAACGAGTTCCGCCCCCGGGTGTCGGACCTATCAAAGCCAAGCTTGGCGGCGCAGTCGTAGCACAGGTAGGGGCGCTCGGGCGTTCGGGGTGGCAAGGCCAGAAGCCGGTCAATTGGACCACAACAGACCTGAGGCTATGGGATTCCTGTTTGGGGCTTCGGTTTAGGGTTTAGGGGTTTAGGGGATTAGGGCTTTAGAATTTCCGATTTGAGGGTGTAGTTTCAATTGCTTCTAAAACAATCGGTCCTCATTGCTGCAGAACCAGTACCTATGTGAGCACATCCCCGCAACGAGTTCTGCAGATGCGCGCCTGCATACCCTCGACTCAGCGTTTTGCTCTCTTCAAGTGGCAGGGCCGAGCATTTAAAGCTTACAAGACGCATGAGCCATCATGTGGATGCTGAGACTAAGGGCTGTCAGAGGTGAGCCTTAAATACTCCGTGAGCGTCTGAATCTGACCTCAACTGTCGGGATCCGATAAAATTCGAGCCCCAGAGCCCCGAGAGGTGCAGCAGAGAGACGAGGTAGAATACTGCCTGGGCAGGGTCCTTCACCGTCCAGCCCTCCAGGTCTGCGAGGAATCGGACGGGGAAGTCGCTCCTGCCCACGGAAAGCAGACCCACAGCTGACAAGACCCGGAAGAGTCTACAACCGGTAGCTGCCTACGATGGCCTGCAACAGCCCAAAAAACCTCAAGAAGTAGAAGCAGGAAAGCACGTGTGCAGGGATGTCTAGATATGCTGATGGAAGGGGTCCTATTCAGCAGCTGCTCCTCTACAAAGACCGGTGTGAAATCTTCCTTCGCAGGTTCGTTCTCGGGAACTTTGCATGGCTTGCCGGCAACTGCTCCAGAGGCCACCAGCTCTTCAGGCAAAGAGGCAGTTTGAAGACTCTCTGCCTGAGACTGTTGTTGCAGGGGAGATTCGGGTACCTGCTGCTGGATTCTTCCGACGGTCTGCGGCTCGCCAACTCTCATCGGGTCCAAGCTCGACGCTGGCATTGACGGAAATACGGTCCCAGTGCCAGCAAAAGCTGCGCCACCAAAGAACACGAGGCCAAGTAGAAGCGCGGCGCCGCACAAGCTGAACCTGAATAGATGCCCGTGGGGCATCCATCTCCCCTCAGGCCGGCTACTCTGACGCCTTGACATCTTGAGCTCTGCAGCTGCGACATCCCCACATCGTCTACGGATCTCACTCTAAGAAACTGAGACGCAAAAACACCCAGAACCCCAGGCTGACAGCAGCTTCCGAGGATCGCGCTCAAAACTTTAGCAGGATTCTGATAGAGCTAGATAGGCGCCTAAATAACATCAATTATACTATGCTGATACTGTACGCATAAGAAGGGACAAGCTGTGACAATCGATGTTTTGGGGCTACAGGACTGAAGTGGAAGAGGGATCAGGGTTTAGGACGGGGATTAGTGTTGCGACCTCAAGGTTCATGTTTGCATGTTGCATGTGCACTAGAAGAACATACGTCTACACAGTACTTACTGTGGCATGTAATTAAATACAGACTATCTATAGTACGACAGTATGCGAGTTCCATGACAAGCCAAGCCACTGCAAGACACAGCTCCTGAGAACTCCTGTCTAAGAGTCTAAGAGAAGACACCGTCTGACAGCATCCTGACTGACATAAAGCCCGATCTAGTAGAAGACCCCAAAACCCGCTGTAGCAGAAGACCCGTATGTAACAGAAGACCCGCCCAATCTGACCCAAGACCCAGTTATATCTACAATTCATCAAGCATTCGTCTGTTCAAAACTTTTGCCCTGGCCTCAGGTGGATGAGGTGTGGCCATAGCTGGCCGCTTGCGCACCGGCCGGGAGGCGGAGGCCTCGCTTACAGGCGCAGACACCAGGGTGTCTGGGCTTCGGCGGCCAGGTTGGGACTGCAGGTTTCATGAAGGTCGGGGCTGTCCGAAGGTTTAGAGTTAGTTGATGGGGTTTTGACGGTATATGGGCTTCGGGGCTTTGGAGCTTGGCGTTTGGGGTGGGCCGGGCCAGGCTTCAGGATTCTTCGGGCTTTGGGCTTCTTTTAAGGACCTATACGGGCTCCTACATTACCTATATGGGGTTGTCTAGAAGGTTACTCTGGTCTAGAGTTTCGGTTTTATTAGGGCTTCAGGACTTTTGGGGCTTCGGGGTCGCAGTTGTTGCGCTGGAAATATGTTCCTTTGCAGGATTTTGAAGGGGTTGCAGACTACAGCACTGCTTCCCGTAAAAAGAGCTGCGTTGGGGTTTCGGACTTCAGGATTTCCAGTTTCGACTGTTCGAACTCTGTTGAGCTTGAGGTTCTGGAGTTTTGGAGCACCTGAGTTTCTTGCTGGGTTCCGATTTCTATGCCAACATTGCAGAAATTGCCGCAACCAGGATCCCAAACATGCCCCGACTCCGCCTATACAAGCACTTACCCACGGAGCAAATTGCACTGACGGTAGGGGTAGACCAGCCATTCAGACGGTGACAATGCTGCTGATATCGACACCTGATCTTGAACAAGTCACAACAAACAAAGCTACCTCATCACAAGCCCGGAAAAAACAACAACAAACCAGCACCGGCAAAAACACCTGTAAGCACCCCTAGTCCACAAACCCCTGAACCACAAAGCTATAAACTCCTAAGCTCTAACCATACAGCCCCCAAACCCTGAAATGCCCATCCCAGTCCCAGATCTCTCCTTGGGCGCTGCCGAAGGATCAGCAGGAGCCTGTCGTGAAGGCATCTCTCGGACGTGTACCCAGACCCCCCGGAGGGTCCAAAAAGTAGATCCCTTAGTGGGGTTCCTATAAAGTACCCTTCGTAGTACTATAGTACAGGGCCCCAAATTAGGGGATCTACTTTCCAGATACTCACTGGGGTCTGGGTATGGGTTGAGATCTTTATCTTTAGGTTGGATAACAGGTTAGGGACAAGGGTCTAGGTCCCGGAGTTTAGGCCTTCATGCTTGAAGTGCTATGAAGGTTCAGTTGAGGTTGAGGGTTTCTGGGAGTTATGTCGGTTTCAGGCTTTGGGCTTGTGAGTTTTCGGCTTAGCTTCGAAAACTAAGCAGTTTCCGAAGTCGATGATCGGGTGTTTCGTAATAACTCCAATGTTTTGGGAGCCGAGACTGCCTGCCAAGAATTTCATCTGGCACAAGTCCTCCAAAGCCAGGACCCTCACAAGCCAATGCAATCAAAACCCCCACAGACCCAAAATCGAACAAGAACTCAGGAAACCCCCGAAACCGTGATGAACCTCTGAATCCTCCGATGAACCGCGCAATCCCAAGCCCCAAGGCCCGACAACACTCCAGGCCTTCCGTTTCGTGCCTGCTTTGGCCTCCCGCACTTCAACAGCGGAAGCCGCAATACAATGCGAAACACAAATAATATAATATACTATGATATTAATATAATAGTATGATATAATAAAACGCTTACGCAATAAAATATAATATAACGCCAAGGACGACACAGAAAGGACACAAACAAGGTCGCCGAGCAAGAATGCCACAAACAGTACACGCAAACAGCGGGCGAGTCCTTCCTAGCTCCGTAGAAGGGGGCCTCACCCAGGGGCACGACGGCACTTGAGATGTAATCAACCGACATCATCATCGTGTGGTTTAAAGCGGCAATACCAAGACAAGCAGCGAGAAGAAATGATGAGGAATAGCGCGGACAGTACTACTGGCACTCAAGCCTTACAGCCAGGAAACCCTAAACCCTAACAGCTTTAAAACAAAACCCTGAAATCTTGAATCGTACACCCGAGAGCCTCAAACCATAAACCGTGTAGAACCCCCCTAAATTAAACCCTCAAGCCCAAACTACTGGAACCCTGAACCAGAAAACACACCTAAACCAAAAGCCGGTAACACTGAAGCCCGGCAAGGTCAGAGAAGTCTCCGTTCTTGTCCTTCTTCGTGCCTGCACGGGTCTGACAGCGACCTTCATCGCCCGTCAAGTGTGCGAAAGGGACACTTGCAGCGAAGCAAAGGTCGAGGTTTGAGGCTTAAAAGCGATTTCGGCGGAGTAGCCTGGCTTTGCCAGTGCTGCCCGGAGGCTCAACTCACACCGTGAACTGCTCCGTCGGCTTCACGATGCACGCCTTCTTGTCCTTACCAGCACCAAAGGAGGGGTCCACCTTCTGCTCAGTATTCTCAAAGTCGTGCTTGACAGGCGCGCAGCCATCCGTCTTCCCGCAGTAGAGGTTCCTGATGTTGCAGTAGTTGGTAGAGAAATCCCCGATAGAGAAGCCCTGCGACTCCGAGCAGGCGTGGATGCCGCAGCTTGGCTTTGCACCCTGTGCATCGAAGTCGGAGAAGGTGAAGGTGATCTTGTCCGTGAACTTCTTGTTGCCGGTGATGCGCTGGATGTCCAGCTCGTCCTTGCTCTCGGACAGGAGGCTGTAGGTGCCCTTGTTATGAGGATCGACCCAAGGGCCCTGCACTCGAGCCTTCATCTCTTCCATCACATCGGCGCAGCTGGCATCCGCAATGGCTTCCACCTCTGCGGAGGCATGGATCCAGCTGCCGGAGCCGGGGCATTTCATAGCACCCGCTGCGGTAGCCAAGAGGGCGAGGACAGCGCGAGGAGCCATGATTGGAGCCAGCGATTTGCTACGGGAACTCGGGATTTTGCTACGGGAGCCTTCTGATGCTTGAGCCGTATAGCCCACCAGTTCAGTGCATCACCGGCGCTCTCTTCCAGAATGTCAAAGCAAGTAAATTTGCGCTACTACAGTACCTGTTTAATCATATCGGTATCCTCTGCAATACTGGTCGCCTTGAAACAGCAAAAAGGCCAATACAGGGGCCGACCCCCCACTTCCCAGGATCCCACAGAAGCCATCGACAAGGTCTTCGGAAGCTTCCTAGATGTAGGGAGGCCACCCCACACCGTAAAGGGTAGGATCGATGCTTCGTGCTGTGAGGACCAACTTTACAAAGAAACACTATACAAGGAGGACCCCTAGCCCCGAACGGCGGTTCTTAAGATGCTGCCTTCGCCGGCTTCGCAGCAGGAGGTGCAGCCTCCAGTCGATTTCCCCAAACATCCCTGAAACGGTTTAGTTTGAAGGTCTCGGTTTTGGGTGTGGGTTTGGGTTTTGGGGACGAACACATCAGCATCGTACCTTCGGGGCCGCTTCGGGGTCGGATCCCTAACTAAGAAGCCTTGCACAGGAATCTCGAACTGAATATTATAAGGATCCTGCTATTTAGGGTACTATATTAGGGTCCCCTATTGTCGGAAACTCCCATTCGGGAACGATGATCATCCAATAGCCGCATCCAAGCCCTACTGTAGAATGCCAGCAAGCGAATGACATGGTGCCAAAGATTGAATCGTTAGTCAGTCGCAACAAAGCTAAATCCAAAAGAGTGACCCTCAGCTCGGAGCCCTACGAGCGGAAGAATTAACCCACACACTCATCCAATCAGTCCCAAAGCTCGACGAGCAGCGCCAGCTGCTCGTACTTCTTTGAACAGGTCAGGCCTTGAAAATTCACGCTCGAAGGCTGGAGTTTGGCGCTTGATACACGGGCCTGAAAAAATGTGACTGCAATGGTACTTATTCCGACCCCTTGTCTTGAGGCCTCGGGGCATAGGGTTGAAGGTCAAACGAGTGAGGGGTCCTTTTCCCTTTTGTCTAGCAGATCAAGCATATAACAAGCAACAGCACTGACGAAACTAACGGAGAGATCGGGGTCGTCCCATTGAAGGGCTAACATGACAGAGGCTACCTGGGAGGAAGCAAGGATTTAGAACAACCCTGTGCCCGGTTGCTGCAGCCGGCCACTGTAACTTCATGCTCCGAAGCCAAGCTTATCGAGCTGCCAGCAGTGGGATGAACTCATTCCTGCCTGGCGACTTCGGGCATCGGCGCTTCACCTGCTGCCAAACGGCGAGATTCCGTCAGGAAGTGCAGAGCAGTGCGGAGACTGGAAGTAATGTCCAACAACTTTCGTTGCTCCCGGACACACGCGATGGTTCATCAGCTTTCTGCGATGCTTGACGGCAGCTGTGTCGGGATCGTCTGCGCCGATGTGTTGGCTCCTCCGACGGGCCTAAAGTCCGACTTCCAGCTGCACGAGCCGCACGAGGCGGTCCACATCTTGCGGGCAACGGATCCGAACGAAGAGGGGCTGGTGCTGGTGCTTTTCCCTCATTCGGCGAAGCTTTTCTTCCTGCATGTGGTGCACTTTGATGACCCAAGTGATGACGCTGTCCCCAGTAAACAACAAGCCCGGATGCTCGTAATTCCCGTTGCAACACTCAATGCGGCAAATCATACGCTTGACAGTGCGCCATATGGCACGGGTGAGTACTACCCAAAAGTCCAAGTCCAACCACACGACCACGTCCACCTCGTCCCACACAAATCCGCCCGTGGCATTGAAGTAGTTCCCGTCCACAGTGAATCCGCCTTGTGCCTGTCGGGCAACTTTGGGCAGGAACACGTGTATGTGTGAACAGTCGATCTATGCTTCTGTGCATGTGGGTTTGTGCACGTGCATGTGTGCGTATGTATATGTGTACGTGTGTGTGTGTGTATGTACGTATGCATGTAGCGTACTGTATTGCATTATACTGTACTGTATTGTATTGCATTGTGCTGGGTCGCATGGCACTGCATTGTCTTGTACTTGTATGTTGTACCGCATCGTATCGTATCTTATTGTATAAGTGTGTGTGTGTGTGTGTGTCTGTGTGTCTGTGTGTCTGTGTGTCTGTGTGTGTGTGTGCGTGTACGTATGTATATCAACATCACGATGCGGGCACGACAGAGGAGCCCCTGGGCATAGTTCTGTTAAAGCGCATCGTGCTCGGCTGAATCGAAGATGCAACCCCCAACCAACAGCTCATAGACGGCAAGGAAAGTGCATGAATGCGGCAAAGCTAGGCAAGATGACGTATGTACTACGTATGTATGTATGTATGTATTATGTATATGTTATAAGTACATAATACATATATATATATATATATATACATATGCATATTATATTCTCTCTCTCTCTCTCTGTGCATGCCCCTGTGCCGCTACTCGGTGTTGTATGGTGCGGTGTGGTCTGACAAGTCATGGCATGGCCTGGCATGTGGGTCCGGCCATCTGTAGATATGTACACGCAACATGTGCGTATGTCTGCGTACGCGTCTCTGTGTGTGAGTATGTATACCAATATGACAAACATACCAATAAGATAGATATAGAATTAGATAAAGGTATAGACACACGTAAGGGCTATGAACGCGGAACCCTGTGCAGGGGATGCTGCTTCTGGGTGTGCTCAGTGCCTTCGCCTCTTGGATCTGCTGGGACAGCATCGTTTTGAACTCCTCGCGATCACGATTCTGCCACCCTGGAAGCCACGCCAGGCTGTCCAGCTCGATGTGCCGCACACCCTTGATCTTGGCCAGGGTGTGCGCCAAGGTCGATTTCCCAGTGCAGCAGCAGCCAACGATCGAGATGCGATGCTTCTGGGCTAAGGCGGCAGCCACCGCTTGAAGCTCGGAGAGCTGCGCCCGCGGCCTCCTTTGCCGGACGAGCACGCGCAGCACCACATAAAGCAAGGCAGCTCCAAGAGCCGAGAAGAGACAAAGCCACAAGGTCATCGCGGCGCAGCAGGAGCCCGGGTTCACAAGAGCTGCTAGACTCTATGGACTCAAGAATGAAGAAGTCGGCAGAAGGACATGGGAGAAGATCTGGATGGGATCTCTTGAGCACTTGTCGGCACGACCAAGCAGGCTTGCAGTGAGTGCGGGACCTGAGCCTAGGCCTAGCGCCGAGAGCTGCAGGAATCCGTAGGCTGAATGCCATGAACGGAAGATGCTGTGATGAAACGAGGTCACGTCGATAATGATGGCGATAGTGCCATGACAGAAGAGATGGGGTAGATGCAAGAATAGCACCAGCAATAATGCGGATGATAATGATGCTGGTGTGCCGTCCATGATGAGTCTTGGGATGGTTTTGCATAGGCTGACGACCCAGACTAACCATGGTAATGGTGATGCCGTTGAAGATGGTGATGTTTATGCTGATGATAACGGCAATGATGATGATGATGATGATACCGCGGCTCTTGAGCCTGGCTTGGCCTGTCTTGGATTTACGCATGGACTGTCACGGACCACTGAAGGTCACTTGCATATTTCGACGGGCCCTTACACTGAGAGTCCCACAGTCGAGAGCTTATGATGTAAGGGATCACGTGCCCGATACCTCGAGCTCCGCTCTAGCTGCAGCCGCGGGGCTTCTTCAGCGCGATGTCCAATCGTCGAAGCTTCGACTCACAAGCGCTTTGGGGAATCGGTGCGAAGAAGAACGAGGTTTAGGGTTTAGGGGTTTGGCCAATGAGTCCGGACAGATAGATGAGTCTAACATGTATCAAACTCGTCTATACATGTTGCATGAATGTTGACAATTTTCACACATGTGTAGACATGCGTATCTCCCCGGGAGTACTTGGTCTTCCTCGTAAGCCGCAGTGGGAAACAATGATGGCCTTCTTGCGGCCGAACCCTCAGCGAACTGAAAGGGACCCATAAGTTGAACCAGAGAGGCCCTGGGCTTTGGGGTCGAGGTTACCATGTGGCTGGCAGACGAAGAAACTGTCCGTGGATGCTACGTTCAGCCAGAACCCGGCTGTACCCGACGAGGATTGAACAAGCAGACGGGTTGGGGGGAATAGAAGGTGTCGTAGCAGGCATGGCAGCAAGGAAGGTAGGACATGTCATACCCATGATCTGCAACACAATAGCAATGCTGATCAGGACTGTGTAACTGGGGTCGATACTGACAGCACCACAAGAGCAAGGATACCATTTACGATTGTAAAGTGGCCCGAAGGAAATTGAGCTGCGATGCACACGTTAGTCGAGCACTTGTTCTTACTAGCCGCTAGCCCCGACGCCACAAACTAAGCAGCAACAGCAAACCAGGACACCGACAAACAACAACAGCGCTCAGCGATGTCAGCTCAGACTACGGTCGAAGCGTTGAGTCCCAACTCGTGTGAAACAAAGACCCTTACCTGAGGGAAAAAAGCTCTCAGCCTGATCGCTGCCACACTTCCGCCTGAGCTCCGACTCGTCGTAGACCTGGCAGCCAGGCAACTTTGGGTCTACGGTTCAGGATTTAAGGGCCAATGGGAACTGACTGGATAAGCACAGGGCAGAGCGTGATGTGATAACTTTTGCTGGCTGGACTACTAGACTGCTTGAACTCGGGAGCCTTCATTCAGTCTGAAACCTCAAGCCTTGACCCTTAACATCCCTTAACCATGCAGCCCAAATCCTACACCCGAACCATGAGCCCTAATGAAACCATCAACCTTAAGCTCTAAGACCCTTCAGCCCTTTGCAGTCTCTCAGTCGATGCCTGGCGCAGCTTCAGGTTAAGGCCGAGGTGAGGGAAGCCGAGAACCTGCCGAGATGAAAGAAGCGAGTGTGTACATGGAGTGTGTGCATGGATGTGCTTATACATATGCATCGGTAACTATGTAGATGCATCCATCCAGTCCTGCATGCGTGCATCTTATTCTATGAGAATATATACATACATATATATATATATATATATGTGTATCATTCTGTGTGTATACACATACATATATAGAAACACATATTGTGATATCGTATAATATATACATATACATGTGTGTGTGTATATATATATATATATATATATATGCATATATGCGGTCGAAACCATAACAACGATGGCAACGATGAGTCGAGTCACCGGTCTTGTGCCCAGCTGAAAGGTTGTCTGATGGCTGGAAAATCATCAAGACCATGCGCTTGGTGATGCTCCTAGTCGTGCTGTCATCTGCTTTTGGCCATGAACTTGCTAATCACCCAGAAGGCTTCTTGGACGTATCTGTCTTCTAACGGAAAATGGAACTCCTCCAACTTTGGCAGGATCGACAGAACAGTCGCAGAATGACATCCTCAACAAAACTGACAAGGAACAGAACTACTATTCCAGGTCGAAAGCCGGACCAAGAGGATGCTTTTGGCCGGCACGATATAACACAGGGGCTCGGCTGTCAGGGATGATCAGGTTTTTAGGGGATTAGGGTAATCCGAACAGCTGCCGGGGGCGAAGGCCTCGAAGCGCCGCGCAGGTGCCTCCTCCACTGCCGTGAAAAAATATGGGCCCTTGTGTGATTAGAACAGGGTTTTTAGTCCCGTTGTACTATACTTATAATGAGGAGCCCCAAAAATAGAAAAGGTACTTGTTAAGGGCCCTTTATTAGATCCTGTGGCGTTTGTTCCACCCGAAGGCCCTTGACTCGACGATCATGGAAACAGCTCGAGCCCTCAACTTCCAAGATCTAATCATAAGAACAAAATCATCGAACTAGTCATAATAACAATAACAGTATATTCTAGTCGAAATAATATATAACATTAACACTAATAGCAACGATAACAATAGCAGCATAAACATAAGATTAAAAGTATCTACTAATCATCTACTTATATTATATTGTCGGTCCTTGGCATTTTCCGCCTCGGCGTCGCCCCCTGGCGACATCTCTGCTAAGTTCACCATTCAAGCCGCTCGCACTGCATCGATGGCAGACACTAGCATGTAGAATTATAGGGTTTAGAGTTTAGGGTCTAGAATGTGCAATTCAAGTCCTGGACCCAGCAGTTTGACATCTGCAGTACCTTGTTGGACCATGTGTAGACGGCTTCAAAGCTGTGTCCTCCCACTCTCATCAAGATGACGCGCTAGTTTCACCATCACGTCACTACCCAAAAAAGCTAAAGTTGGCCCTAAACTAAACCCCAAGCCGAAAAACTAACAGGTGCTGAAAGCCAGTCACGGAAAGGCCTCCTCCATGCGACCTGGGATGCGAGTGTCTCGAGCAAACGCTTCCAGTGACAATAACAAACACATAACACACAGTGGCAATGACAAAGAGGATCAAACAAGACTTGTACATGGTCGCAGTAAATGTAGCCGTGTGGCGGGAATACAAGTATATCTCATACTCGTCGCCGTCGGAGCAGCAATCGCACCAACATCTGCTGCAGCACACCGTCGGAATAGACTGAGTAGACACGATCGTGGTGGCGTGGGCCAAGGCAAGTCGTATTAGCAGCAGTGCCACGGTGGTGGTTGTGATGGTGGTGGTGGTCGTGGTGTTGGTGGTGGCGGTCGCAGTCGTCGCCGTGGAGGTCATCGTCGTAGCGGCGGCGGTGATGGTGGTGGTGAGGATGCTGGTGGAGGGACTGTCTCTGCCGTGGTTCATATGTTGCACTACAGTCTAGTCGAATTAAATCTCATCCCTACACCGGTTGCAACTTTTGATAAAGCGCTTAAATATCTGCTGCCACTGCGATGCTTTCCCCTGCTCCCTGCTGCAGCTCATGGTGCTACTACCACCAAATTTAGACAACGTAAGCTGGAGCTCTGGTCTGGGCCTCAGGCGCCTCAGGCTCTGCCTCCTCGTCCTCCTGCTCCTCCTCCTCCTTGTCCTCTTGCACCGGGGAATCCGATCCCGCCTCCTTGCGACGAAGGCTTCAGGCTACGGAACTGGCGGAATCGAGTGCTTCTGCCTTATGGGTGGTTGTCAAAATTAGGGTCCCTTTATGGGTACCCTAGATAATACGTGCCGTACTATATTAGGGACCCAAAAAGGGACCATAAGTTTGACAACCACCCTTATGCTGGAGTGCAAGTAGCAGAGCAGAATGTAAGGGAAATGAAGGATGCTATGCGTGCCAGGAGGGTCAGGTCGGTTGCAGCAGTACTGGAAGGATGGACTATGCAGGGAGCAGGAGCACATGAACAAATCTTGTTGTTCGGCTGCAGGTCTCTTCCCGGTCCCTGATCTTCCGAAAATTTCAACCAAGAAACACTGAACAACCACACATAACCCACAGCTCAACTCACTTCCTGAAGCGTAGAATCTCCCTTCACAGACCTCCATTGGATCCGGAGGCGCCGCGGCCATCTGGCGACCACGCGGTCGGGCTTCGGGCACTGCAGGGGCCTTAATTATTAAGGGTCTTGGGGCCCATGATACTATAGTTGCAATAAGGAACCCCCAAAATGGTATGTGTAAAGGCTCCTATATTATATTATCCATTACGTAGGACCGTTGGAGCTACGGCTGGTAGAGCTGCTGCAAGCCGGTGAGAATCGAAGCTCTTGGGACTTTGGGATTTCTGGTTCAGCATATCAACGCTTCCCGTAGAGCCTGTTCGGAGTGCCTTTCGGGCGACTAAGTCTTGTTTGCCACTCCTTTCTTCGTGACTTGCACTCTCTCATCTTCACCAGGATATGGCTGGTGATCTGTCGCGACAACACCGCCAAATACATGGAAACAGTTAGCCCATGCAAGCCCTAAGCCTGAAACCTCTTGCCCCACAAGTGGGAGCTTCCGAAAATAGGGGACCCCAATATAGCACCCTAAATAGTACGATCCTTATTATAAGGACCCCAAATTTGATACCCCTAATTTTCGGAAACTCCCAAGTCAAAAAAATCGGCGCGCGCCTTGGCCTTTGCCTTGGCCTTCGCCTTTTCTTTGGGGCGGCGAAGGCCTGGAAGGCTTTGGAAATTTGGCGGCTGGGTGGCAGGACGAACAATAATAATAAATATTAGTATTAGTATTATTATTAGTATTATTTTTATAAGAACAATATGAATAATAATAATAATAATAATAATAATAATAATAATAGTAGTAGTAATAACAATAATAATAAGTATAATAATAATAAGTATAATAGTAAATAGTATATTCTTATTATTATTATACTTGGAGGTTCAGGGGTATAACTTAGTGTGGTTATAAGTCCCCAATTATGGGCTAATACTTACTCGGCCTACGCAATATCCGGCTCCGAGAACCCTCAGCTTCATGCGAAACTGATGCCTCTGCCGTCGCCCTTGGCCATGACTGCTCGCCTGCCCTCACGGCATGACGCTCATGCTTGCCTGGTATGTGCTGGACTTCTACTGGCTGTTTGAAACAAGGGTTGTTGGGAGATATCGCTGCTACTGCGATGTGATTTTGAGCTTTTCAGTATGACCTGTTGCTGTTGTTGTCGCAGCAACTTCGAGTGTGGTGGTTGTCCTGCTATGGCGGCGCGTGAACCTGAGTAGGCTTTCTATGCTTGAGACGACCTGAGTCAAGGGGCGGATCGTCAAAGCAAAGATGGCATGAATTGAGGTACCAACACATCTACGATCGTCCATTGAGCAGAAGCTGCATTAAGGGCTAGCGCAAATTGATAGGCAGGAGCTAATAAAATCCTTGCTTGCCTTGCCGGCTCGTCATGAATCATGAGACGCCATGCTTGTCGCTCGATCCGAGACGCTTGGTTCGTTTGCGGCCATCCTCCGATAGCTGAGCCCGAAGAATTGAATCCTTATCCCATTCAACCATGGCAGAAAACCCCCAGCCTGCAAACTGTAAAGGGCGACAGCCCGCAGAACAGAAGTTCGAGATCACCCATGCTGAGCTCATGTGCAAACAACTGCGCGTGGAGTCTCTGGGAACAGGAGCTTCGAGGGACATAGCGCTCGATCTGCATGAACATACAGTATCGGGATGAATAGGGTACAGTAGCACACCAAACTCGAAAAACAAAAAACTATCCTTCTCATCCTAGGTGGGCCTTTCCTTCGGCCCGCCAGTCTCGATCCTTGGGCTTTCCTTTTTCCTCCTCTCAACTCATTGAGTTGAAGAAGTAGACTCGGTAGACCAAGAAGATGGTCACCTCGCAAGATCTACCCGGCCGGGGCCCAAGTTGTTGCTTTCAGGATGTGCAGTTGAAGTCTTACACAAACAGCTGCTGTTGTGGCCACATATGCACCACATGCCGGTAGCACGAAAGACCTCAAGCGATGCACAAACCCTGATTCTGCACTGTGCTCCGAACCCTGGCACTTGCATCTCAGACGCCCCTCAAGTAGTGCCCCAAGTAGAAGAAGCACCAGAAATGTAGTAGTGGTCGTCGTCGTAGTAGCAGTAGTAGTCATTAGCAGTACTGTAATCAGTTGCAGTGGTAGCGGCAGCAGCAATACAATCATAGTCATAGCCATAGCCAATAAAAACTGACAACAGCAGCCTGTGCGGCTGCGAAGAGGCCGAGAACCTTCCACTTCAAGGATGGCGCCTGGAGGGCTTTAAGGCATGGTTGTTCAGAATCTCAGGTGTCTCTTCTATACTACTAGGAAGCAACTTCGGTACTTGGGCATGAACTCAGCAACACCACAACAGTCAAACCGATTGCTCGATGCCACCCAACTTCAGCCAAGCAACAAATCAAGCTGTGATGATGCCTTCTGACTGCGTGCATCCTACGAGAAGCCTAGGTACCTGCCGTCCAAGCACCCACGTAGATGCTTCCACTTGGTGGGTACCTGTTGGTGCTGGTGGCCCTGGTTTCGGCAACAAGTTTGTCCGCGTGGCAAACACCAACCCCAGCCCTGAACCATAGCCCCTAAACCCGAAGAATTCAAATCGACAAGCTCTGCAACTAGAAAACGAAACAAACTCTAAACCCGAAACCCCAAAACCCCCACAACGAAGATCTCACAGCCCTCAATAAATGCAGAAGGATCCCGCCTCGACTGCTAGATCTGCCGAGAGGGTGCCCCAGAGGAAGACCTTTGTGTGGAGCCATAGCTCGGGGTTACCATGGAGGTTAAACAAACGTTGCATTCTCAGCGGCCAACTAGCATGCGTGTCTAGGTTGCGGAACCGGCCGCGAAGGAAGCTCCCAGATACACTCAGGATATCCTTCTGTATGACTACTTTGTTGTTATTACCACCATTATCATGATTCTCGTTATTATTAGTAGTATCGTTACTATGAACCATATTAACACTAGTAATTAGTATTATTCTTCTAATACTACTATAATAACAAACCCCAAAAGGCTGAGCCCCACGGCCAGGGAGATGCCCAGTCCGGCCAGGACAGCCAGCCATCGGAAGATGGAGAGCCTCGGATGTTGAGACGATGCTTCAGCAGCTGAGGGTTTAGGGTTTAGGAGGCAGCTTATGATAGCAACATCCATAATCATGAGGAAATACTATCGCAATCATAACATATATGAAACTACTAGTTACTGATAACAATAATGAATCACACTGATATAATCGTACAGAAGCGCAGAGGATACAAAAACTTGCCCTCTGAGGCTCCATCAGAGATTGCTACAGTAGCTGAAGAGGTGCTTGCGATCTAGGGTCTGGGTTTAGGGGTTTGGGTCGTGGTCGTTGTTCTCCGCCATGAACCCGACTACAAACGCCTCGAAAGATCTAGGCTGGACTGCCGGAGCGCCTGGTGCAGGAAACTCGTAGTCTGGGATCAGGCTTGGAACCCTGCTAGGCTAGGCGATGTACCACAATTTGATTTCGTGATATCCAAAACTTGCTAGAAGCTGCTAGAAAGTATGTCGTGTGCTTATATAACTTATCAGAATAACATGTGTAACAACGTAACGAAACATAGTGTCCGATATGCTTCTGCATGTTCGACAATGCACCGTCTGCCAAGTAAAATGCAGCAATCCGTCCACAACAAGCACGTGCATACATGCATTAACACATGCCTGCATGCACACATACCTACACCCTGGCACACACAGACACACATAAAATGCATGCATGCCTGCATGCATCCATCCACCCATCCGCATATCCACATCCATCCTTCCATGCATGCATGCATGCTGCTACACACAGACATGCATATATATCAGAAAATCCAAAAACCCATCCATCCAACCATCCATCCAAGCATGCACGTTTGCAGGCCAACCCTGCATGCTTGCATGCTGGCAAGTATGCTATCATGCATGCATAGATACATGCATGTATGACAGTATGCAGACATGTATGTGTACACACATGCATAGACGCACACAGGCGTACATGCCTACAATATGCAGACAGGCGTACATAAGTGCATGCGTACAGAAGTACATGCCTATATTGGGTCTACATGCACAGTAAAATGCATATGCTTATACGAGCATATATGCACATATATATATATATATATATATATATATATATATATATATATATAACATACAAAGACATACACGAAAATACATAGAGTTACATACATGTACATCCATACATATACATGTATACAAGACAATGCAACATAATATCATGACGCACATGTAAAACGCATAAGAGGATCTGTGACTCCCGTAGTAACCCTAGTATGGACAAACATCTTCTCATTGTCATTCCGCTCTTCCGATATCTGCCCTCGGCACGACAATGACCTCTGAGGCGCCTGCGGGATCAAGCAAATCACTGACATTGGTATCATAGGAGTCAGCGAGTAGCCGTAAACGCAGATCACCTCGCCACCAGAACAGTTTTGCGATATGCACGATGTGCGGGGCAGCTGAAGCCAGTGCAGGGCATCGAGCAAACAGAAGGGAAGCAGCCATCCTGACACGAATAGTTTGATCCCGGCTATTCTCGGAAAGATGCCCTTGGGAGCAACATCAGTAGCTAGCCCGAAACCCCGACGAGCTCAAAACCAGCTAGTTAACTAGTGCCCCTGTTGCGAAACCCGTTTTGCCGAAACAATAACCTTCAAACAGCCCAATACGGCCGAAACCTGCTTGAAGTTGATGCTATCGACCGACCTTGGCAAGGGTGTCTCCTTGGGGCTGATTGGTCTTGGCTTGGGGTTTCGCGGCTTGGCACTTTGGACATTTAAGGTCTACACGCAAATACCGACTACGACGAACAAAAACCCCGTCGCGAATAAAACGATAGATAAACATACATGAAATATAACTCATCACCTTTAAGGCAACACAATGTAAGATAACCTAATGTAATACAACAAAATCAGCAGATCGTAACATAAGATAGCATCAAAAAGCATAACACAATGTAATATACTATACAGGTTGGATGATATACTGTTTTAATGCCAGATAGTAGTATGATATATTACCATACAGTATGTGTATGTATGCATGTGTGTGTGTGTGTGCAAACATACATACACAGCTCATGCACATCCCGATTTTATGGACTCTGGCCATAGATTCTCCGATGCCTTCGAGATCCATATGTTCAACTTTCCTACACGACACGCCCGAAAGACCCTGAACCGATCCCTTAACCGTGATATAGGGGCCTTGATAATTAGAATAGGGCTCTTGGGGACCATTATACCATAGCTACAATCAGGGACCCCCAAAAGAATATAGGAAATCATTTAGGCCTCTATAGTAGCCACCGAAACCCTTGCAGACATGCGGCTGCCCGGAGCAGTAGAGACCCAGCCGCGTCGCGAGCGGGACGCCCACAAGGAGTCCGTAGACCATTGAGGCAGCCTCCAGCTTTCTGGGTCTTAGTTGGGAAGAGGGGCCTTAAAAATTTGGATAGGGGTCTATAAAGGCTACTATAAGGGATCTATAAGGGTACTTTCTGTCTGGGTCTTAGTAGGGAATGGGGGGATTATGGAGACGAATATTGGGGATTATATAGGGACTACTATAGGGATCCGTTCCCCCATTCCCTACGAAGTGGGGATTATATAGACAGTCAAGCAGGAAGACAGGGGAAGAAAACACCTATGCGTCGTGTATATGTACTCTTGAATATATGTATGTATGCCTGTCAACATGCATGTGGTAATAGCTCTGTGGTATGTGCCTATTTAGCTAGTCAGCTAGATAGGTAGTAGGCAATTCGTGAGTGAGTTACTTGCTAGGATGCCTCACCGTTTGACGAAATCACCAACTGGCTGAACAAAAAGAAGCAACAAGCTACGTAGCCAGCCAGCTAAATGCCGGTCAACAACCCAACGAACGAATTTAATGATAGGACCGAGTTGCGCAATTTTCAAGCTAACGAACTAGCTAGCTGCTAGCTGGCTAGCTAGCTCGCTAACCGACTGACGATGTAACTAGCTAGCAAACTAACCAACCAAGTGAGTTCAGCTATTCTGTAAGAGAGCGAATCATCTGCCCAGCTGGGCAGCCACTTGGCTTGTTAGTTGGCCAGTCAGCTGCTCACTTAGCCAGTCCGTTGGTTAATGTAATCATTTTCGCTAGTGGTTTCGCTACTTAGATCGTTGGTCAGCTAGCAGCCAGCTAATTAGTCTTGTCTGTTGCTGCAGCACTGCGACAGCATCAAACATATGTTTTTCGTGCACCCTCAGCAGCTGATCAGGGCTCCAGGCCACGCTGACGAGGGAGTAGTCTGACTTGAAGGTCGTCTCGTCCTGGCCGCAGAATTTGGGGCTTCGAGGTGTATATTCTCGAAACCTTGAGAATTGAAGGGTTCAGAAGTTCAGACACTTCCAAGAATTGACTTGTGTGTTCTTCGGTTTGTACGAGAGGCAATTTGACTTGCCCCATGGCCGAATGCTAGTGTCGCGCCAGCCTCAGAAAACGTTAACCTGTATGTCCAGACCACCGCCAACATTATTTCTAGCTTCGTGCAGCCCTGTGTACCATATTTGCCGAAGCCTCCAACGGTTCAACACTCTCGGACGTGAAACAAGCCGTGGCTCTCGGCCGCTTGAACAAGAAAGCTCGGAAACCCAGAGCACCCCGACATCTGCCTCCGTCTCGAGCAGTCGAGCGAAATTCCCTGTCGCCTGACATGATGCACCCCCCCCCTTCGCGGCCCCGCTCACCCCCGGAACTAGAGTTCGAGAACATATGACGTCGAGTCGGCCATACAGGCTGCCCTGCTTGAATGCTTTCCGCCAGCCCTTGCTGCATCAGGCTCCCCAAAGGTGCAGTGAGAAAGAACTCGGTTACGATGAAGACTTGCAGCACTCATGCAATAACAGCCTCATGGGCTCAGCATTGAGGAAGGACGAAACTTAGGAGACGCGTGGCCAAACAGAACATGCCATGCAGTAACCCGTCCGCTGGGCAATACTCGACGACATGGCATTGGAACTAGAATGCTTCATGCCTTGGTATAGCATTCTGAAGTTGCGGCACAATGCACAAGTAAAAGTGCGTCTAAAGGCATGTCCCGTCGAATCGATTCCGCCCATTCCTCTTCTGCGTAAAGTACGCATCTTCAGTTCTCGATCGCACGCTTCCGTCTTTAAAACCAGAACCCGATGATACCCCATGACTAGCCGGCGGCACGGCCAAGAAGAGCACCGCGGTGGTGGCGACCCAGAAAGGCCCGTAGAAATCAGGCCTGTGCGGCAACTCAGGCTTGCGAAGCCCTTTCAACACAAAACATAACATGGAACGTGCTGTGGCATTTGCAAAACACTGCTTTTTCAATATGGCATAATGAACACATGGTACAGTACAGATGTCATGTGTACGTATATGTATATATTATATCTATGTACACATATATACTAAAAATATCCACCTATCAGTCTATGTATGTATATTAAAGATTAGCGTAGCAAAACATGTACATGTATCATGCAAGTCACACGTTGTCAGGGCCAGTACGTAGCGGCGTGCCTTGTGCGGAAATCTGGTGCCGCGGCATCCAGTCCCTGGCCACAGCATTCGTCGATCATGCCAGCCAGGACCCATGTTGTGTGCTCAGGATGAAGATCCACGGGCCAAAGCGACGAGAAACTGCAACGATGACGCCTATGCTCTCCCTCGGCATTACAATGCCCGTGAAATGCCAAATTCAAAGTAACATACTTGGAGGTTCAGAGGTAGTTGTAAGTGGGTTTGTAAGTCCCATAATATGGGTTATAAGTATATAGTTACCCTACTTATAACCCTACCTATAACAACCCATGTACCTCCAAGTATTGTCTGCCCAGTCCAATCGAGGGACGTTTGATTTTCCCGAGATGTGCCTCAGCCAAGTGGGCACAACCCGCAAGTGTTCAGGTGGGAGTTTCCGAAAATGGGGGACCCTCAAAAAGTACCCTAACTAAAGTAGGATCCTTATTATAAGGACCCCCCAAATAAGGTACCCCTAAACCCCGATAGAACCCTCAAAGGAACCCTAGGACCCCCAAATGAAGGTACCCTACATTTCGGAAACTGCCAGGTGCCTGGAAAGGCACGAGCGCAAGCTTCAGACGCTTCACGACATCTTCTGAGCCTTTTGCGGGGAAGATCCAGAAAGCATAACTATAGGGGCCTTAATAATTTGGAATAGGGTTCCTGTAAGGAGTTCTATAAGGGATCTATAATGATGGAGATATATGACCTGATATAGGGGCCTGATTTATTTGGAAGAGGGTTCCTTGAAGGCGTTCTATAAGGGATCTATAGTAATGGAGTTATATGATATAGCGGCCTTAATGCTTAGAATAGGGTTTTGGGGCCCATTATACTGGGAATATCATAAGGATCTCCCAAAATAATATGGGTGATGATTCAGGCCCTTATATTAACATTGCCGCTGTTGGGCAATCTGGGTACTGCTAAACTCAGACGGTTCTGTTGAGAAGCTGACAGCGCAATCAGGCATTGAAGATGGCGGGGAAAGCAATTCCAACACCTCTCAACCAAGGAAGTCCGTTAACGACCGGCCAACCCCGGAACGCAAGCACACTCAGGCTGTGACTCACATCGAACATCTGCTGTGCGTAGGAGAGCATGGAGCCTGACATTCTATGCGATTGAAAACAACTGGAGTGTGCCTTGAAACAGAACTCGTCTTCCTTGTGCAGCAGATTCGAGGCTCGCTTTCTGTGCAAACGATATGAAAGCACTTCCACATGGCAGTCCAGCGAACGGCATGAAAGCAGGAAAATGCGTCACAGCAGACATGAAGGAGATTAAGGCCCCTAGGCTGCGTGGCGACACGCCGACCTCGCCTCGTGAAACCAGAAGCTATACAGGCATTGAAAGAAGCCAACAGAGGGTTAAGGCCCGAGCCCCGCAGCATAAGTCAGTTGAAACCGGAGACTCTCGTGGGGGGGCCTGCCCAGCCCTGCACGCCGGCAGCTCCCTCCTGGCAGGGCAACGGGGTTCAGTTTAAGGTTTAAATAGCGTTTTTGTGTTTTTTATGGCTCCTTTTCTCCTGCAACACAAGGTCACTGGGGAATGCCCGTAGGGCTGGAACACCCGGTCTCCGGGATTGCAAGGGTTTAGCGTTTAGGGTTTAGGGTCTCAGAGCAGTGTTCTGCGTTCTAGTGGAGGGCTGAACTGACAGTTGATCGGAAGGATGTGATCAGAGCACATCTACAAACAGTGGAACCGCACTTATAACTTCTTGTTGCGCAGGCCATTGCAGCGATTTCTTTCCGAGCCTTCAGCCGAGAGCCGCATCAGGCCATATTTTGTGGGGGAGGGATTAAACGCTCTGATCTCCCGCATGTAGCAGCGCTGATTTTTTGCAATGAGTTCGGGGCAACAAAACAACACATGTAGAGGAAGATTGTATCACGGAGGGCGGTGTTTTCAGGGTGATGCTTTGGAATGATTCAGAATTTTGCGGCATGCTGAAAAATGAATTCCAAAGTTGCCGATGTTTTTTCGAAAGCGCCACAGCTCACGAAGCGAACCTTTCTGAACTGGGTCTCTATCTTTGGTAGAGACTATAAGGTTGGCCTAGAGGGGGGAACTTCTGGCAGAAATTGCTTGTTCGTGGTGTTTGTTGATAGCGCAGAATGATTGGATATTTCGCGTTTTCGGGCTGATCGGGGGTGCTTTCCCTGCCCCCAACCCCATAAGCCCTACAAGCCCCCTTGCCAAGAACCCCCGAAGTTCTTGCGAGAAATGGGAGTTTCCGAAAATTAGGGGTATCTGACTTTGGGGTTTAATGAGGATCCTCCTATTTAGGGTACCATATTAAGGGCACCCTCTGTTTTCGGAAACTCCCATAGTAGGTTGAAGTTACGCAGAGGCGTTTAGTCCCTGCAGGCGCCCCTAAACACCTAAACCCCTAAACCCCTAAGCCTCAAAACCCAGAACCCCAAACCCCAAAACCCTAAACCCCCTAAACCCCTAAACCTAAACCCCTAAACCCCAAACCCCTAAACCCTAAACCCCGAACCCCTAAACCCATAAACCCCTAAACCGTCAACCCCTAGACCCTGAACCCCCTTCTAATGCCTGACGATGCCCTGGCCCGAGATACCTCGGATCCTGCCGCAGCAGAAGCTAACATACCTCCAGCATTTGGAGGTTCGTGCCTAGTTATAAGTATATAGGGTTATAAGTAGGGTATCTATATACTGATAAAAAAGTATGACCAATGCCTGCTGAGACTGCCAAAGCTGGTCCCAAATCTGCACACTGCACTCTCGTAACTGTAGACTTGCTGGAAGCTTTAGGATATCTGGAATGTGGTGAGAACGCAAACGCCCGACTTCGTGACCGACCTAGTGCGGGAACGCACGAGGAGCTAGGACGGAATGCAAGAATCGAATGCAACTCCTGGACTCCAAAAATGGCCGTTGCCGCACCAGCTTTCATGGCCAATTTAGAGATGGATGTAGAAGAATTCTCCCGAGAGGACGCGCTTGAAGCTGAAATACTGGAAACTACACAAGTAGATATTCCTATGCTATAGGTATCGTTCTTTGTCGATACGACCTGAATCCTAAACCTTATCCCTATTATAGATACATTATTGAAATAGACCCTTTCCATGTTCCAGGGTTTGGGATTTCGGGTTGGCTATTCTGGGTTTTCTATGGGTGTTTTGGTATATGGGGTTGAGTATGCCAATTTTCTATTGGGATGGGCATGGTTCCATAGTATGGTTTTCATCATGTGGATCTTGGGTTGGGGATCTTGGTGGTTTGGGCGTTGAGGCATAGGTTGCTATGGTTTGGGTGCTAGGGGTGGCGCATGATTGGTAACTCTAACACCATAGACCGAAGCGGAAAGAACGAGAAGCCCGAACACTAAACACCTACACCGCAGCTTTCAACCATTGCGGCCCAGCAGCTACCGAATCCTCGAAGGTTGTTGGATGCCGGAGCACCCCCTGCCCGGACGGCCACCAAGTCTCTTCGAGCGGCTGACAACTGTCTGAGGGGCTCGTTGGCTCACAGGGTTTAGATAAAACTGAAAATGGTTTTCGGATTTCGCTCACACTGTGACTTTGGCACGTCGAACGACTGGTCGCTAATAGTAATAGTAGTAATAGTAACAATAGTAATAATAATAGTCATCATAGTAATAGTAATACGAATGATAATGATAATAGTAATAATACTAATAATCATGATAGCAATAGTAATAATAACAATAGTAACAATAACAATAATCATCATAGTACTAGTAATACGAATAAACATAACAATTGTAATAATAATGGTTTCAGTTAGTTGGTGCCCGAGAAGAGTGTCTTCGTGGTCACGATGAGATGAACGCTGGTGTGGTGCAATCCATAGGATAATTTTTCAAGAGCAGCACCTATGTTGCGCATCGAGCACACTGGATGTCGCGATCGAACTCGGTAGTATGTACATAATCATGTATGTACATTTACATTTACATACATGTCTGCTTCTCATTGCATATATGTGCACATTCATAAATAGACACATAAACTTAATGTGTTTAGCCATGATTCTGATAACATGCATCGGTGTCAACAGCGGCCTGCGGCCGGACCCGCTGAGTCCATCACACCACCGGGTGCCTGTCCTCGGTGCTACAAGACACACCAGCAGATGGATTTAGATACCCAGAACACTAACACAGAACGAAAAGATAGGCACAGATGGCACGACAAGATGCACGACCATAACGGACAAATACCGTAAGTCTTACACCCTAAACCCGAAGCTCTAAGCCCAGAGATCTAATTACATGTCTTGGCTCATCGGTCAGCGATCAGTGTGAAGTCTCTCTCGATCGGGTTAAACGCTTTCGTTTAGCGTGAAGGGCATGTGAACGGGAAGCACCCTGATGATCCTGCCGCGCGATACAAGACTGCAATGCTTCTCCTCCATATCTACTGATGAGGGTGTGGAGTTAGGCCCTATTTACAATTACAATACCACTACTAGTACTCAGTGAGACAAAGCACAAGACTTTTCCTCAATCTGCGGGACAATGGAGCCAACTGCAGGCTTCATGCGTTTAACCCCTTAAATTGAACCAATCACCCAATGCCCCGATCTGCCTAGAAATATCTCAAAGCCGTATTCATGCCCACGCTGTTCCGTGTCTTCTGCACAAAGGAAGTACAAGCAACATCTTCGTATGAGGCACGCCAGAAGGAAAACAAAGATGCAAAATTCAGAACCAACAACTCGAAGCTGACACGAAAGCCCTCTAACTGTACGGATTGAAGTAGGGCTGAAACGTGCTTAACCGTAGAACCCTCAACTAATATAGGCGCCTTAATAACTACCAGTACTATTTTGGGGTCCCTGATTATATTTGTCGTATAATGGGCCCCAAAACCCTATTCGAAGTATTCCGGCGCCTATATTATGTGGCTGCGTGGGCCCTAAACCGGAGGCTTGGGATCCCGGGCTGAGGGAAACTGTGTCGGCCTGCAGGAGCTACGGGTTTAGGGTTTCTATGGGATTAGGGTGTAGGGCTTCTATGGGTTTGGGGCTTATTGTCTCTATGGGATTAGGGTTTAGGAAGCTGGGGAGGGCGCTCATCTGGGAGTTTCCGAACATAGGGGACCCTACTGGTAATATAATACCCTAAATAGTAGGGATCTTATCATAAAGACGCCAAAATAGACGGTACCCCTAATTTTCGGAAACTCCTAATAGGGTTTATGGGTTTAGGAGTTGCGGGTTTAGGGCTTATGTGGGTTTGGGGTTGAGGCTGCTGTCTTGAGCTTCAGAAATTGGCCATTCGCACCATGGGGTCCAGAAACCAGGGGTCGGCAGTTCCAAAAACGATCACTCGCTTGAGGGTTTAGGGTTTAGGGGTTTAGGGTTTGGGGTTTTGCGATTTTAGGGCCAGTGGTCAAAACGGCAGATGGATGGTATAAGCTAGTGAGCTAGTGCGGGTCTATGTTTGTCGCGCCGCATGCTGACCACGCAATCATTCGAGTACAGCTCCCGATAAGCCTTGAACCTGGAACCCTGCAGCCTGATGCCAAAACGCGGTGCCGCCTACCAAGCTGCTGTTCTACACGTCGGGTCCTCCTTGTTTCGTCTAGTCTAGCGGCCATGGAAGTCTCGATTTCTCTTCTTTCGTCGCTACTGTTTTGCACCATGGAGTCTGTGGAAGGCAGGGAGAGTCTTGCGCCGTTTGCTATGGAGCCCCTCGCAAGCGCGGGAGATCTCGCAACACTTCCGGCATCATGCTGCCTACACAAACTGTGAACCCCTTTTAACATGCAAACGACATAGCCCAAGAACGCCTCGGTCGTGGCGAGTTTGCCGCCGATAGCCTCGAGCAGCAAACGGTAAAAGTTGACAAGTGTTCAGTGGCTAGATGTAGACTGATGTAGCAGTTTCGGCTTCAGGACGTGGGCCTGTCTAGGACGAGGGCCTGTCTGTACCCTATCGAGCCTTTATACTGTTGCTTCGCATATATACGGATCACATAACCTTGCATCAGGCTGTACGCTCGAAGCTGGTACTAGTACATGCTTGATGCATGTGTCTGTTGTTGTTGGCTCGGTTGTTGTTGCTGTTGTTGTTGTTGCCGCTGCTCTTGTTGCCGTGGTCGTGACGGAGACTCTCACTGTTGACTACAATGATATTGATTCTGCATCTCGTGAGGCCACCGATCTCCGTGGCGTGAGCGTTGCATCCTTTGTAGCCTCATCCGCCCTCATCCGCTATGAAGGGCAGGGTACCTTGACAAAGAGCCTATCAGAGCTGACAACACTCTTGCCTGCACCAGCCAAGCCGCTAACCAAGTGCTTTAGGATCCGGCACTTTGACCAGGATATTAAACAGAATTGATCTGCAACCTTGCTCTAAAGTTTGAAACCCCCTTGCTCACATTCTTTTCGGGCTTAACAGCTTGACGACCCAAACCGGAAGCAGCCCTAAAAAACCCTGAACTGGATCGCTTCCAAGGCACTTCGTGGCCGGAGCCGAGTGGGACCAGGTGCCCTGTTCAAGGCTGAAGGGCTTTTCAGTTCAGGGTTGAGACTTCAAGGTTTAGGGTTCAAGGGCTTGGCAAGACGATGGCTGCGACTACGACCTATCTTTTCGGATGAGATGATTGTTGACCCCTTCCTAATTACGTGCAATTGTCATCTTCGAGCTTTGATGATGAAGCGATTAACTGTTTCGCTTTTCGCTGATTACACTCCCAAGTAAAACGTGGTCCTATTCACGTATTGCTGCTGTCACAGAGCCCTTTGACTTTGCCTTAGAGGTCCGCCCGCTGCAATCGTAGCGGCAGGCCTGGGCCTAAAACTCCCACAATGAACCTGCCGCCGCTAGTCTGAAGCAGGCTCCTTGCCATGTACAGCTCGGCAGCTAGACTTGTAGCACAAGGCCGCCAGGTACAGGTACAGTATGCTATCATCGAGCGCAGCGAACTGAACTAGTTCCTATCTAGCCCCGGCAAATAGTCCAAGTGGCGCAGTCTTAAACCCGTAAAGCCTAAACCGAAAACCCTTGCAAGCCTGTCCTACTTAGGGACTATGCCTCCCCCGGCCGTCGCCCGGTCATGAAGGTCGAGGTCGGAAACTGTGGGCCGATACCTTAGAGGGCTGAACCCTACAGCCCCTAAACTTAGCTCGCTTTTGGTGAGTATAGGCCTTTATGTAATGCGCAGGAGGTTGGGGTGTTGATAGCTGTGACATGGCTGGGACGATCGAGGCCCTTAGCCGTCTCGAACCTTTATGTTGCGTTTCAGGCTGAAGGCACAGGTTCTACGGGCTACAGGGCACGTCTCAGGTCTGCATTGGTTGCGGCTTGCGGGTCGGCGGTGGCAGAATGTGCAAGGATTAGAAAGGTTTCCAGCCGAAGCCGTGAAGGTTTGAGCGAGTGACTCGGTCCAACCCTTGGTAGTAACCGACAAGCCTACAGCATCCCAAACCCCAGCTCCCACCCCTCAGTCAGCTTGGCCGAAAAGCCGGGATCATAAAGGCCGCAGCCCAACATATCCCAAATCGAGCAGCTGACTTCAGGCCAAAGACCTTGAACCCTGAATTAAGCACTCATAAACCCCAAGCCCACTTAACACCCTGAGTATCCCTGAATGCCATGGGCACCTTTCCAAGCCAGGGAAGGGACACTTCAGAGGACTGGCTGTGGAAGGACAGCGACTCCGGCGCGCCAGTGGACCTTGCACAGAAGGCCGAAGCAAACGTAAACTTGCGAAACGATTTGTCCGATCAACAGCATTTGTCTAAATGGCTCCGGGGCTGTCACCTTTCATCTGCTAGAAGCCCTGATGCAAGGTCGCGAGTGGAATATCATCACTTCACCTTGCCTAGCACGAAGGCAGACTCTGGGCCAATGCTTGTAAGTTTAGGCTATACCCAAATGGTAAGAAATTGCACTATGGGTGTTCTCTCAGCAAATGCATCAAGCATGAGTTAGAGCCAGGCCATTCAGGCTTCTCCCACTGCGTCTGGTTTGTGGCCGAGTTGTGATAGTACCTCGAAACCGCCCCTCCACTCAAAGCAAAAACGGCACATGTCGCAAAAGCTGTACTCAGCACCGGCCGTATCCCTAAGGAGCAACATCAACCGATGACACTAATTAAGCCGCGACCTTGCTCTACCACACTGGCAGGAGGCTGCGAAGGCCTATGAAGCCGAACGAGGCGACCGACTCAGCCAAGCCCGACCTATTCTGATGCTGCATCACGCTGCGAAGGTTGGCTACTCTTGCTCGTCCTCGCCGGGGCACTCTTTTCCTTCGTCTGTTGTGTACCTTTCCGGCAGCAATCGCAGATGTCTGCAGTTGGCTTTTGACAAGCATTGACAAGTGCTTCCTCCCCATATGGGAAATCGCGCGCAGCATGGAGTTGAGTAACCTACATGCCGTCATCCTTTCACGATGGTGCGCACAATCAATCTAGGTACTGCTCTCGCTCTTACGTACTGTGCTGGCAAGCACCTCGCTAAATTAATTGAGCCGGGTAACTTGGACCAGTTCGGTGGCAGCGACATGGAAGCAAAGGCCGATGTTTTGGCCGCTTCTCGTGTGCCGGCGTTGAATTCCTCTATCCCCCAAAAGGTTCTAAGAAGATCCCTGACACCTCGACATCCCAGCAGGGCCGCTGCTTACCTGTTTGTCTATATGCTTGGGCACATGGTTTGCTACTGCTTTGCCATAAATACGCACCCCTAAACCACAAGTAGCAAGGTTTCTTCGGCTTCGGGCTTGAGAGCTTGGGAATCAAAATAGGGGCCTTGATAATTAGAACAGGGTTTTGGGGCCCATTCTACTATAACTCTAGTAACTAGTAAGGAGCCCCCAAAATAGTATTGGTAATTTTTTTGGCCCCTATATTAGGACCTAGGATGATGGCTGATCCGTGGGGCTCGGTTTGGTGTCAGCTGTTCGGGCGGCTGAGGGCCCTGACTCGGGCAGGGCGTGCAACATGCGCGTAAACGCCCTCAGACCTTCACCGAAACTATCCGAGATTTCTTCTGAGACTAAGAACTGAAAGTTCAGGGTTGAAGATATACAGGACTCATGGACATAGTTCAGGCTTCTAGTGGCTATGCCCGAGAGCCAAAGACCAGAGGCACGGAAGGCGGCGATTGCTGAAGTGTACTCTTCCTTCTCTTGTCGCGGTCATTGCGACATACATACACGCATACACAAATACATGCATGCATACATACATACACAAGCGACACACAGATAGACCGACAGCCAGCCAGAATCAGACAGGCTAACAGCCAATTACTCGCACCACATTGCATGCACTATACTACATTACATCGCACCACACCACATCACGATACAATGTGTTACAACTCATTGCGTCACACTTACAACAAGACTACTAGTTTCGAAATGAGTGATAACAACAACAATAACAATAACAGTAGTAATAACAGAAGTAATCATCATAACAGCCATAATGATAGCACCAACTGAGCATGTATATGCGTGTGTGCGTGCATGTGTGCAAGCACCGTAAACGTCCCTCTTATGAAGAGACTGACCGACGCATGCTCACAGTCGCGATTCGTGCATTGAAGCTTCCGCCGAAGCCAAGCAGGCATTAATATACAAGCGCGACATGCCTTGGGCAGCTCCGGAACCAGCGTACAGGGCATGTCAAGAACCGGATTTTCAGTCATGTACCGTAGTTGCATTTTGCCTGGTGACGAGATGAGATATCTTATGTCAGCTGCCGTCTCTGCGACCAGGGTTGCGCGGTTGCGAGGCTTGCATCCAGTATACTGGTAGGGTAGGGCTGGGGCCCGAAGCTGTCCAGACAAAAAACTACACCGTCACCTGGACGAATTTCTCGTGAACAAAGGCATGCAAGAGGACACAAAAAACTGACCTGGTAAGGATGCCGTGACTCCACTGGCAAGCAGGGACCGTGCATGCGGAGATGCACGGAGGAGGCTTGACGACACACCCGTTCTGCTTGCTTGGACCCTGCGTCTGCTTCGGGGCCTCCATCCCCACAGATATTAGCCTTGAGCGCGGTTAGAGTCAGAGGCAGCGGGTGGAAACTGCCTCAGTGTAATCTTTCTCGATGCGTTCGAGACGCAGGGTGTGCTGCTTGTGCTACCGGACCGCAACGACACACACTTTCGATGTGTCGAGGCTGGATCCAGTTATGAGAGAATCCAGCCTCAAGGGCCACCTACGCGATACTTGCCTCGGCCTTCACCGAACCGCCCTCCGCTACCCCACCAAAGCCCAACAAACTCTAAGCCCTCTAAGCGTTCAGTATCACAAGGCGTCATCCGACTGCAGACCTACCACATTCAGCAGCCTGAGCTTGATGCCCCGAAGACGAAGAGGCGCTCTCTTTCCTTCTTGTAAGCCTCCGACGCGGCTCCACGGAGGAATCTCAGGTTCGGGGTTGGAGACTTAAAGCAGGGCTCGAATACAAACCAAGCACCGATCTCCGAGGCTCGTATATAAGCAGCGGGAGCGGTAGCGGTAGCAGTTGTCGTCATCGTTCTATTCCTCGTCGATCATGTCCTCTTCACGGTGGTTTCGGTGGTGGCAAGTAGAGAAAAACGGAGTAGTGGTGGTGGTCGTGGTAATGGTGGTAGCGCTGGTGTTTGTGGTAGTGGTGGTAGCAGTGGCGGTTGTGGTCCATTAGTGGAAGTAGTGGTAGTGACAGCAGTAGCGGTGGCAGCAGTAGTAGTCGTAGTAGCAGTAGCAGTTGTAGTTTTCGGAGTAGTCCAGGCGGTGAGGGTGATAATTGGTAGCACAACTGTGGAAACCAGGAGCAGTAGTAGAAGGGCTCGTGCGCGGAATAACGCAAAAAGCCTTCAACACTGCAATGATCCGTGCTATGGCGGTGAAAACAGCAGGCGTGTTTTTGGCACTAACTGGAACCAACACACGGACTGCAGCCAACCTTCTTTTCGCTCGATGGGGATAGGCAAGCAGCGAGTCAGCAGTTAACGGTCGCACCGCGACTGTATGACTCTGTCCGAGGCTGCTTCCGATCGATCGTGCTTGCTCCAACAAAGTGATCGATTGGTATCCTGCAAAAACAGTCAACTTATACCGTGATTGGTGCACGCTCGGATTCGGAGTGAGCTGCATGCTGCCCCAGCACCAGTGACATGAAGATTGTCTACTGGTGCACCGCGTGAAGCCCGGGTGGCCCATCTTCGAATTAAGCTTCGCAAGCAAAGCACCATAGCCATAGCTAGCAGAACCGCGTATGTCGGACGATAGGATGATAGTTCAACAGCGGGCGGTGCCAGGTACCGCTGTTGCTGTTGCAAGGTCTTGGCAACATGGGGAGGGAATGTAGGATATGTTTATTACGTAGTAGCCCTGAGCAATGCATTACAGTATGGGACTACGACTACCAAAGAGTCACACATCCACACATCCCTAAACGGGTTCCCATCAAAGCAGATCGCAAACTTGCTTAGATAACCCTACAAACCCTGAGCCCCAGACCCCAGTGCCCGAGCCATAAAACTCAAACCGGTACAGGATCCAAGAACCTTATACAACCCTCTACGAAGGAACCCTCAAACCCGAAACCAACCTATTCCTGACAGCCTGGTGCAAGTGCAGAGAGCACTCGGCAAGGAGCGGTTTCGGACCTCCTTCTGAAGTCTCCGAGCCCGGTGCAGCCTGCCCAGAAGTGCCTTCGACTCTAGTCTTGCTCTAGTCATCAGTGCTCGCATGGCAGAAAGAAAAGAGTATCATCCAAAATACAAAACAGTCAAACACAGGTATATGCACATGGATGATATCACACTAATAAAATGACTTCAATCTGTTGAGGGCTCTTGTTACTGCTGCTGCCTATACCATGAAAAGCCATAACATGTCTTCCATGACAGGCACAGGAATGTCTGAAGGTCGATGTAGGATTTCTGATCTCTGATCATGTACGTAATTAAACATTCATATACAGATTTCTATGGATGTCTTCGACCTAGGCTCTGGAACATCTCCAGTTCCTCAGGCACCACCGCACGGTGCAGCCTTAGAGCTAAGGACTCTCAGAACCGCGTCGTGGGATCCGCCTGGAGCCGGACAGAAAGCAATGTGGGAATTCACCCTGAAGCCTAAAGTTGATTCTAAACCCTTAGCTCTAAATCCTAAGTAAGGGCTTTGCGCTGACCCGTTTCGCCGGTCTAGGACCAGCATGTTCGGTTCTCGAGCTCTCCATATGCTGCGATGCAAAGCAGAGATCCAAGAGCTCCCTGCCTTTGTTGCGCTTCCGCGCGAGCTGGGAGGCCATTTTGCCGTTGGACGTCCGCTGCGCCGGGTCGGCACCCTCCTGTCATTCAGCGGTCTTTAGCAAGACGTGTCTCGGGCTCGTGATGAGTGCATCGATCTGGGCATCATCAGATTTAATTTCCAACATATCGAAGGAAGAGGCAGCATTTCAGAGGCGCGCAGGTGGACTTGCGAGTTCAATGTTCCTATGTAGCATTCGCCTCAGCCCCGGGCGATCAGAGGTTGCCTCTTTCCCCTCCAAGAACTTCTCACTCCACCCTATAAATGGATTTGGCTACCAAGCCCCAACCCCAGCCCACTTCGTCGTCTTCACTCTGAACCTGCTAATTGGGCCCTGATGTGGAGACGTCTTCAGCTGTGGCAAGGCTGAGGCAGACGATGAGACGCGCTTGCATGGGCAGATGATTCAGCACGTGACGCATAATGTAGGAACCTGACTAAGAATCTTTGGGCCTTCATTAGTTCCTTCTATGAATCCGACTATTTGGGTGTTATAGGCCCAGGATTTCGATCAGGTTCCTACATTGCATAGCCCCCGCACACCCCAAACCCTGTTGTCCTCTATAGTAAGCCCCGTAAAGTTGGAAACCGGATTAAAGCGAAATAGTGCTGGCATTCCCTATACATTACTCTTAAAGATTGAGGCTATGGGGTTTCCAACTCTTGGGCTCCTACTGTAGTGTCTCTTCCCCCATATTATGGCTCCTGGATGAGCATCTCCACCATCCCTGCATCGCCCAACTCTGCGGCAACGTGGATGGGATACCTTTGGCTCGGATCTGGGCTTGGTACTTGGAGGTTCAGGGGGAGTTGTAAGTGGGGTTTTAATAAGTATAACTACAGTACTAATAACCCTACTTATAACTACCCTAAACCCTAAATGCCTAAACCCTATGTAGAACCCTTAAAAGGAACCCTATAGAGCCCTTATCACCCTACTTATAACCACCCATGAGCCTCAATGTAGGGGGCACTGGGACCTGCAGCCCAAGGATCGGGGCCCTTGCTAATCAGAATGGAGTTTTGGGGATGTAAGTATACTATGGTTGTAAGAAGGAAATCCCTATATGGGAGTTCCTAAAATAGGGGACCCTAAAAAAAGTACAACAAATAGTAGGATCCTGATTACAAGGACCCCAAAACAAGGTACCCCTAATTTTCGGAAACTCCATAATCACACTATGGCTGTGGAGCGGAAATCCCTATGTTACCCCCCAGGCCGAAGCCGGACCTCCCTGGGAAAAAGACAGGGCAAGGGCCAAGTTGGGCGGCAAGATGCACCGTTCTGGCCATGAAGGGCAGGTACCAGGCATCCTTCGGCCAGAAAGCGTCTTTTGGGATTTAGGGTTTGGGGTTTAGGGGAAAGAGTTTTGAGGGTGCAGGGTTTGGGGGTTCAGTCTATCCAGAAAGAATCTTCGTTCTGGTTCTTCGTAGGGAAATGGGGAATGGGTTGTGGGGACTATTATTGAGAATCATATAGGGACTATCATAGGGATCCATTCCCCCATTCCCCACTAAGCACCAGACAGTCTTGAGGGTGTAGGGTTTGGGGGGTTCTAGGATCCATGAACCAGGATGATTTAGGGATCTAGGGTTATCATTCGGACGAAAGCCTTCAAGTTGTGCCTTGGGGAGGGCTCCGACATAGTAGAGTGGAGCTGATATGGCTTGGGCAAATGGTACCCATCTATGTATCTATGATTTTATCTCTCTATCCATCTATCGGTCTATCTATCTATCCTGGTAGCTACATGATCGATCGATGGATAGATAGATTGATAGATAGATGCGAGGCGGGAGCCAGATATTGTCATGTGCAGCAGGCTGTCGCCACGGCCACGGTGCTCACTTCACTCTTTTTACGCCCACTGGGTTCTCACCAGGGTGTAGCTGAGGGCGTTCGCGAACATGTTGTTTACCGAAATACACCGAAATTGATGTTGTTTGCCAGGCATTAGTTGGTGGGAGCATATCACAGGTGTCCAATGTCAGTGTGGGAACCGACATCGAGCCATACCGCTCCAAATCCCACTTCTGCTACAGGGAGTTGTCTGCATTTCAATGGACATCAACCCAAGCCAAGCAATCTCCTGCACGCGCTTTGCGTGGTCGAGCGCTACAAAGCCGTGGGCATGGAGGAACTCCTGAAGGCCACACTCGTCAAGCAACTTCGACACGAAGTGCCGGCTAATCCAGACTCACGAAGGCATATGTGCAGGGAACACGGCCTGTTTGAAGCTCCGAATTCTTACGCCTACTCAGAATCTTGCGCAACACACTTGCCCTGAAGCACGCTTGTCTTGTGTCAAGATGGAAGACGCGGAAAGAGCTCACTACGATGTCATGACAGAATCGTGCGAGTCAGTGTTACTGGAGCAGTTCGTTCCTTTAGATGACACTGCTTTCCTCAATTAGGCCCGTGCCATCGTCCGAAACAACCTGCATCCCTGAAGAAAGCAGATGCCTCCACTCGCCGCTGCTGCTCCTCGGGGACGCTTCGATAAGTTGGCTCCGCAAGTTTGTTTGCACTGCGATCAAAGGAGTGTCATGCAAGCAACGATGATCAGCAGGAGGTAGAAGTGCCTAAAATCGCGTCCCCGGGTTTAAGTTCAAAGGGGCTCCCCGGCATCCTTATTTCTACGTCGCCCCAGAACTGCTTGAGTATCGCGTCCTTCTCTTTCGCTTGTCGTCGCGCGCACTCCTGAGGAAAACTTTCGACAAGGGCCGGAGAGCCAAAGTTAAAAGAAATGTGGGCGTCTTGTATGTGGGCTGTCCCTGTCAGGGATCTTTGCAACATCTGATAGTCCTCACTCCTTGCTACTGTTGAGAGCATATGCTGGCCTGGAGGTATTGCATGGTTTTGTAGGGTTTGGATTTTTGTGGCTCCGTAGAGCCCAACTACAGTACTGCTTGTAGGGTTTAAGGGCCTGTGGCGTTTGTGCTCACTGGGGTCCTGCGGCACGCAGGGTGCGTGGCGTGTAGGACATATGTATACGTGTAGATGTATATATATTAATATATATATATATATATATATATATATATATATATATTAATATATATATATATATATATATACATAGCCTAATACGTTTAGATGGTA